TGAGCCCCCAACTCCTAGATAGTGCCTTCCCTCCCCAACTACCTTGTATTTAAATACTTTGTATATGTTTGTGTTTATTCAGTTTATAGTTACTGCTTCAGATATTTATATATGTTCCTCTTGTCTCCCCCAATAGAATGTAAGCTCTTTGTAAGGATTATTTCACCCTTTGTAGTCGCAACTAGCAACTAGCATAATGATTAATATACTTTTTTCTTAATGAAAAAATTTTTTTCTAATCCACAAGCATTTTTATGGGGGAGGGTGGGGTTGGATCAGATGCTCTTCGTCTAAGATTCCTTCCAGCTGTAAATTCCAGGAGTGTAAATCAATGGGGCTTTTTTCTGAGAAGAGGCATGACAGTTTGCCGGCCTTGCATTGCAGCCTCCTCGATACCGGAACTCCGGTACACCGCTCCTAGTTTCCGTTGTGCGTGGGGACCGCTGAGCCGGAGGCACCGGATGCAGGATGGCCTGAACTGCAGAGTCTAGTTTCTGGAGTTGGAGCGGGGGGGGGGGGGGGGGGGGGGGGTGTGTGTGGCGGTTTTCGCTTCACTGAGCTTGCGGCCTAAGGAAGGTGAAGGTGCTGCCGCCCGAAGGAGCCTTCAGAGGCGCACGGGTGCCATCGCCGCGGGGTCTCGGGGCTTTGAGCTGGGAGCTGGGGTCCTCAGGCACAGAATTTCAAAACATTTTCTCCGGTGTAAATAGATACACCCCGTCCTTCTCTCCCCGCTCACCAAATTGTAACCCACGTAACGAGAAGAAAACATGAAACGGAAGGAACTGGAAAGTTTCTTGCAGCAAGTTGATGGCTTTGAGAAGCCCAAATTACTTCTGGAACAGTATCCGACCAGGCCCCACATTGCAGGTAAGGTTGTCCCGGCTGGCTCCTAGTGCAGGTCAGAAAATGCAGCACCTTTGGCATAGGGATGCATTAGTGGTAGGAGGACCGCTAGGAATCGCAAACCTAAAGCCACCCATTGAACTGATGAGGAAACTGAGGCCCAAAGAGGCGAAGTGAATTAGTCATTGATAGTAGGGATAATCTGGATTCAAACCTTGATTGACTGACTCGACTCACTCCCAATCTAGTTCCTTCCATTACACCATAGTGTTTGTCTCCTTTAATAATCATAATGATAGTTTACGCTTTAGGCTCTAAAGTTTACTTTCTGCCTAATTTTATTTTCTCAACAGCGCCTTAAGAGGTAGGTGGGGCAAGTATTGAGTGTACCCGAAGGAGCTGTAATTTTTGCGTAGGAAGCTGACTCCACCAATTGAGATGGCAGTTCTTTGATTTATTAATAAATCCTAAGAAACAACTGAGGCTTCTGGAGCTTAAGTGACTTACCCCAGTGTCACAGAGCTAAGTATCAGAAGTAGCATTTGCATTCTGGTCCTCTTTACTCCACCAAACCTAGCTCTTCACTCACTGCAAAATTACCTCTACAATACAAGATTATCATCCGCCTTTTATAGATATGGAAACTCTAGCTTAAAAAAAGATAAATACGTTGCCCAATACGTGGCAGAATTAAGCAAGTTTCACGAGACCTCTCATTGTTGTGCTCTCTCATCTCGCATTACTGGAACTCTGTCTTTTCATCTCCATTCCTAACTTCCCTGACATCCGGCAAAACTCAGCTAAAATTCTACCTCCTAACAAGAAGCCTTTTCCTCTCCCACTCCCTTAATACTAATAATGCCTTCTCTCTGTGTATAATCTCCCAATTATCCTGTAAATATCTTGTTTGCATATAGTTGTTTGCTTGTTACCTCTCAAATTAGACTATAAGCTCCTGGAGAGCAGGAAATGACTTTTTCTTTGTATACCCAGATTTTAGCATCGTGCCTTAGGCACTAAAATAAATGTTTGTTGACTTCTTGATTGACTAGATGTGAGGAACTACTTTTTTTTTTTAAGTTAAGAATTTAGGACAAAAGCTCAATCCTAAAAAGCACTTTTATTCCTCTAGGAAAATTATTCAGGGAGCTTTTTATAAGCTATCAGAAAATTTTTTTTCAATTAGCAAAATCTATCAAGGGTTTTTGTTTTCTTTGAACCTGTTTGAAAACATTATATACCAAACATTGCACCAAAAACAACTATTAAGACTTGAATAGGACTTTTATGAACATTTATTGAGCTTCCTTTGTAATGTAATATTGATGATTAACAGTGATTTGACAGTGATTGGAGCAGCCATAGAAACAATGCTGTTTTCTGAGTACCATCCCTGAGGTCAGTTGACTAATATGAGTCTGTCTCAATGTAGGTCTTGGCTAGCCTTGGTTCTGGCACTAAGAAAATTTGAGTATTTTAAGGTGCTCCTTTCAGGTTTACTTTAGAATGAGTATCCCTTTTTAGAGGACAATTTGGCATATATTATTTTGGGATGCATCATCTCTGTGGCCTTTTCACGTAGACACTTGTTCTGCAATTTAATTTTGATAGTTTTTGTGACATAGCAAGTTTCTACATTTTGTGGGCCCCTTTCATGGTGTACATCACTTAGAAGGATTCATGTAAGACAAATTAAAATGTTTCAAGAACAATGATTTTTGGTGACTAGGTTTCCATCACCAGCTTTGCCTGTATGTTGTCTCTAATTTGTTCTCCCCTCTCCCCTTTTTTTTTTAAAGCATGTATGCTATATACAATTCACAACACATATGATGATATTGAAAACAAAGTGGTTGGAGATCTAGGATGTGGCTGTGGAATGCTTAGTATTGGAACAGCAATGTTAGGAGCAGGGTAAGTAATTCAGTACACAATTTCTGGGACCAACTGAATAGTAATTATGGGCGTATGCCAGTCTGCATTAAAATATGTGGGAAACGAGATGTTGTAGTACATTTTATAAGAATAACCAAAAAATAAACCTGATTACTCAGCCTTCCTTTTACACCAACTTATAAGCTTTCTCTATTCTTTCTGGTTGAGTATACCCTTATCAAAATATGTCACTGAGCAAATATATTGACATTTTTTTAAAAGATGTAATAAACCCTTATTTTTGAAACATATTTAAATAGCCCTTTTTTGTTTTGCATTTACAGGTTGTGTGTTGGATTTGATATAGATGAAGATGCATTAGAAGTATTTAGTAGAAATGTTGCAGAGTTTGAGCTGACAAATATTGACGTGATTCAGTGCAATGTGTGTTCTTTATCTGATACAATGTCCAAGTCCTTTGACACTATAATCATGAATCCTCCCTTTGGGACCAAGCATAATAAAGGTTAGTTAAAAGAAACAGATGTTGTGGTGCAATATTTATAGGAAAAATAAGGTTTAAAAAAGAAATCAGTGAATGTTTAGGGAAAGTGATTAGTTACTATCATAAGACAAGTTAGTTCCAGTTTGTTTATATATTGGTAGGGAATTGAGTTCATTTTCTACTCTTAATTTTCACCAGTTTATATTATATACAAAATTCTATTAAGTGAATAAAACTGAACAGCTCAAGAATTTGATTTCAGCGACCTCGGTGGCCAACAGGCCAAATTCACCTAAAGCTAAGAAACATTTTTTAAATGAAGTTTTGTATTTAAAATTGTAAAAACCATTCATAGCTAAGGTCTGAGTTGAACCTTGGCAGTAGTTTCCTGTCTTGTAGTCTGATCTAAACTATACCTTGGAAGAATAATCCTCTCTACATCATACCTGACAAGTAGTCATCTGGTCTGAATATTTCTAATGGGCAGGGACCCATTATATCCTTAAGCAGACCATTCACTTGTTACTAATTATATATTTTTACATCTACATTATTAAAGGCTTTAAATATTTAAGATATTTTTTATAACTTACTTTGGGCTTATTTAACTTAAAGTAAGTTTTGAATCATGACAAAGCTTTTCATATAAGAAAATTCTTATTACCTCTATACATTATCACTCATATAACTAAGGTGAGTTGAATCCTATGTTGTTACCCAGGTTTTCACTAAAGAGATCAGCCTTTTATGAAATCAGTCTCTTATAATGGTTTAGTTATCCTGTTATTTTAACAGCAGATAGCTTTTTTTTAAAAAGTCTCTGACTGGGGACTAATACTCTCATCTGATAGTTCAGAAGTGGGCACACTAGTCTATTTCCCCTGTTCACAACTAATAGGAATTAGCATTGTTCATGGTTTTCTCTGGATGTTATTTACAGAGATTAAGTAAGGGATAAAGAAAAATGGAGAGGAGGTACTTATTAGACAAAGGAAGATAGTATACTACTAGTTTGTCATGGCAGGTTAGTGGCACAGTGGATAGAACACTGGGCCTGGAGTCAGGAAGACCTGACTTCAGATCTGGCTGTAGACTAGTTGTGTTACCCTGGGCAAGTCACTTAACCTCTGTTTGCCTCAGTTTCCTCATCTGTAAAATGAGGATAATAATATCACCTACTTCTCAGAGTTGTTGCGAAGATCAAATGACAATAACAGTGTAAAGCACTTAGCACAGTACCTGGCACAGAGTAAATGATATATAAATGTTAGCTATTGTCACTGCACCTTTATATTATTTATCCTTTAAATATACTATCAGTTTACCTAACCATAAAGACCTTTTCCTCTATGAGCCAAAAAAAGCATATTTTGTTTAGAAAATGTACTTCTAGTACTCCAGTGAATAATTTTAATCCACCATTTTAGCAGATTAAATATAAATATTTTTACTCCCTTAATAGGTATGGATATGTCATTTCTGAAGATTGCTTTACAAATGGCAAGAGTAGCAGTATACTCCTTACATAAAACTTCAACCAGAGAAGTAAGTCCAAACCATTAGCTTTTCCTTTGTTATAGTTTCCAATATAGATTCCCAGTGTTGGGAATCCTGAGTAACAAGAGATGTCTACTGTACTAGGTTTTTTGTACAGGTCACTCAGTTTCTGTAGTATTCCCCTTAGGCAATAGCTAGCACCTATGACTTAGGGACTTCCACCAGACCACTGAGGCTAATTTGTTTTCTCTAAGACTTGGATGGATAGGAACTACTGGAAGAAAAGGAAACACATAATGAAGCAACTTTAATCAGACCCCAATTAGGAGGTAAGAGCGTGGAGTAGTAGAAAGCACATTTCACCAGGAACCAGGTTCTAATCTTGGCTCTCTCACTGTTTATGTGAGTTTCAGCAGCTCCCTTAATTTCTCTGGTCCTTTGTTTCTTCATTTGCAAACATTGAGCTGATGTAGGATCATCGATTTAGAGCTGGAAAAGAACTTAAAGGTCATCCAGCCTGTCCCCCACATTTTACCAAAGAGGAATTGAGACCTGAAGAGGTAATTTGATTGATTGTGGTTATATAGTAGCAGAGCCAGAATTTGAATATAGGTCCTCTGACTCCAAATCCAGCACTTGTCTCACTTCTCTCTCTAGATAATGCTAGTCAGATCAACATGGAATACTTCTCAAGTGCTGGGTGCTAGAAGATCTTTTCCAGGTTTAAAACTGTGGTAGTCAGTCTGGAAGAGAGGGTGTCCAGGAAATATTTGTTGAGTAGATGATTATAAATTAAGAGTTCTTAAACACTGATTAGTTTATCCAAACATTATATGTAAGCCAATGAGTTCCAAGGCCATGTATTTTTTTTTTCAGCAGTATATCCCTTAGTAGAAGTCCTTTGGTTTTTCTGATACTCTCCCTGTTCTTTTCTTGTCTTCTTTGATATTCCTGGGTTCTTACAATGGCATCTGGTATACCCAATTCCATGGTTAACTCCTAACCTTTGTTATTAGGAAGCAGAAGCTCTTTAGGTGTAATTACTATCAGTGGATTTAAACGATGGCCTTGGTTGCTATTTGGGCTTTAAAGACTAGGAAGAGAAAAAAAGAACAAAAATAGTAAAAGGGAAAATAGAATCTGAAAAGGAAAAAAAAATTCATGTAAAGGAACTAATGGCTCTTATGTTACTTAGTGTCATTGATTACCTACTTTTGTCCTAATATAACCTTTTCACTGAATTTTCTCAGCACAGTTGACAACTTATGCTTTTTTCTTCTATATCATATCCTTACTATCTTCTTAATGATATATTCCAGTTATTATAATAACCAGCCACTTAACTCATTCTTCACCATTCTTATGGATATAAGTATTAAATGGTTAAAAGTTTTGATTCCCACAAACTTCTCAGGCTTCCTAAAATTAAACCATACTCTCATACTAAATGTTTTCTAGCTAATGTAAAATACATGGAACTACTTTAAATTATATGTAATTCATACATATCTGAATATTATAGGAAAAATTAACTGATTACCTACATACTTTATTTTTAATCTAGATCTGATTTTATCAGTATATTTCTGGTGAGTAATAATTTAAGGGAATTTAATTTTTGCTAATTAGTAAATTATATGAATTAAATATTCATCTCCCTGGTGCATATAGACAGCTTATATAGATTGAGAGACACAGTACCTCTCATTGCTAGTTACTTTAAGGACAGAAATGAATCAGTAAGCCAATATTCCAAACACATACTTTTGACTAGTAAAATTTGACAAGATGGCTTATCCTTTTGTTAGATCAGCTCCAATAGGAAGTCCTCAGTGACAACTATTACTCCTGATCTTTGCTGAATGTCCTGAGTTCTCTTTTATTCTTAAGTTCATAAATTGAAATAATGCTACTGATTTCTCCCTCACTGCTGTTAACTGATGTAGCAGTCAAGCCACTTAGGAAAGCCTCTTATGCATTTTAATAGATTGTTAGCCATACTGAAGTTCTTTACTCTTATATTTTTAAAACTGTCATGCAGTCAATCCAATCTTTAAAAAAGATGAGTCTTGATAAGAATATATAGTATCAGTAGAAAGCTCCAATATATTTAATATAAGCATGATGAATTAAATTTTATTTCAGATGGAATGAACCAACTCAAGGTAACTTTTTTTATGTTTAGCATATTCAAAAGAAAGCAGATGAATGGAAAATTAAGATGGATGTTATAGCAGGTAAGAATCCTGAATTTTCTTTAAAATAATCCTGAACCTGGAAGACTAATGCTGTTTGGGGTGGAGGTAGCAGTAGGGCAGGAATAGTATTGATAATATAAGACATTTAATCATAGCCAACGTTTTTATGTAAGAATTGGGAAGAAAGGGTATATAACATCTATTTTGCAATGTAATAAATTAGGCATGGCTCATATGTTGAGTGAGGTTTTCACTGGAAAGAATTCTTTTTTGTTTGTTTGTTTTTGTTTTTTTAGGCAGTTGGGGTTAAGTGACTTGCCCAGGGTCACACAGCTAGTAAGTGTCAAGTGTTTGGTCTGAGATGGAATTTGAACTCAGGTCCTCCTGACTTCAGGGCCAGTGCTCTATCCACTGTGCCACCTAGCTGCCCCTGGAAAGAATTCTACAGCATTCTGATTCCCTAAGCCCAACTATGTACAGGGCATGTCTTTCAGATAAGCTTGGGGAAAAGAAAAAATTTCAGGAGATAAAAGAATGGCTTTTCTTCCTTGTGTTCCCTAATGTAAAGAAACAGTGTAAGCTCCGCAAAAAGCAAATTTATCTCTCTACTGCCTTTCCAGATTATGCCTTGTTTTATAGTTATTTGTGTCCATCATATTCCTTCACAGTCCTTGAGTTTTATAAATTCAGGGACCATGTTTCCTTGTATCCACACTGGCTAACCATAGTATCTAGCATTTAACATTAAGATTTTTGAGTGTACTTACTGCTGCTCTCTTAATAAAATTTAAGAGAAAGGGTTGTACTACTGAAGCAAACGGAAAAACTAGCAGTTCAGTACTACTTATTGTTATTCTATCTCAGGATGCACATGTCTCTCCAATCTTTTCTGGGAAGAAGAGTGGCATTTTCCATTCAGTGATTAACACACTCACATGCAGTGATACCCTACATGTTTTAGTGATTCTGGACCCCTTTAGCTCAACATCCAGATCCCTTCCCTACTACCTGATTCTTTATTCCTATTCTTCTCAATCCCCCAAAGTTCCAACCAGAAGCTACCTAACTCCCCCTTCCACTGTACCCTCTGGAATGCTAGCTCCATAGGTAATAAACTTGCCTTCATCTTCAATCTTTTCTTCTCCTCTTTCCATTTTTTAGTAGTCACTGAAACTTTTGGCTCCTGCTTGATGATACAACTTCCCCGGCCGCCCTTTCCAGTACAAGCTATACTTTCTCTCAGGCCCCTCAGTTCACTAATCAAGGAAAGGAAGTTGAAGTACTTGTTTCTCATTGCTGCTTCCAAATTCTTCCCGTCCTGCTAATTCTCTGTAACCTCTCTTTCTTTGAGGTCCATATAATCCATATCCTCCACCCAGTCAAAATCCTACTCGCTCTTCTCTATAGAACTCTAGGACACTCTCTTTCCTTCTTCAACAAGTTAGGTACATGGCTCACAATCTTTTTTCTCCCTAACGCCTGCATATACCTAGTAGACTTCAACATAATAATGTTACCTCTTCCTCAACATATGCTCATTTACCATGACCTCTTCCCGCCTCAGTTACTCACAAATATGGTCATACCCTTGAACCCATTGTCCACAAAGATACCACCACCACATTTGAGACTCTGAATTTTCCTTATCTGATCATAATCTGCTGACTTTCCACTTCTCCCTCTGCCTTCCTTTATCAAACTCTGACCTCTACACCTCAATTCTTTCACTCTTTAGTCTCTTCTAGGCCATCACCCCTGCACTAAGCCCCTCTCTCCTCTTTTCCTCATCTTGACCCCTTGGTGAACCAAGCTGTATATATACTGTCACTGTCCTTACTTTCCTTATATCACCAAATGTGCCCTGCCAAGGTAACTCCTACCATTCACAGCCTTAACTCCCACAAGTGCTACTGAAGGAAGGTGGAGAAAATCTTGCACCTACTTTGACTGGGTTGACTACATCAAGTGGGCTCTTCATGCTGCTAGATACGCTTTCTATACCTTTATTAAATGGATATTACACTATTACTTTACACTGGCTCCTCCAAACCTTTTCATTTCTCCTCAGACCTCCAGACTTCCCACTCCCTCAGCAGAGAATCTTGCCTATTTTACTGAAAAAATTTAGGCCATTCCTTGTAAATACTTTGTTGTCTCATCTCATTCAGTTGCTTTCTGCCATTTTCTCCTCCTTTACCCATCACACAGAGAGGTTGCGCTACTCCTTACCAAGGCAAACCCATCTACCTGTGCAAACGATCCCATTATATCCTGTTTCCCCCACCTGCTAGGCGACTCCTCAGTTTCCTTTGCTGGATCCTTATCCAGGTGATACCCATTAACCATAACTATCCCACAGGGCTCTGTCCTGGGCTGCCTCCTCTTCCCTTTATATACTGTTTCACTTCATGACCTCATAATCATAATCTGTGCTGATGATTCTCATACCTACCTATCCTTCTCTCCGACTTCTGCTGACCCTTCAGCCTTGCATCTTCAGCTGTTTCAGATATCTGAAAGTGGATGCCCGGTGGACATCTTAAATGTAACATGTCTAAAACTGAACTCATCTTTCCTCCTAAATCCTTCTAAACTTCCATATTACTGTGGTCAAGGGCACCATCCTCCCTGGGCTTGCAACTTAGGTATCATCCTTGACCCTTCACTGTCCCCACCCCCAAATCCAATGTCTTTTCAAGGCCTGTTTATTTCACCTTTGCAAGATCTTTTAAATAGGTCTTCTGCCCTTTGATATTGCCATGACCCTGATGCAGACCCTCTGCACCTCACATATGGACTGTTGGCAATAGCGTGCTAGTGGGTGTCCTGTAACAAGTCTCTCCCCACTCCAATCTGTCTTTCATTCAGCCACCGAAGTAATTTTCCTAAAGCACAGGTCCAATCAAGGCACCCCCCTGGTTGTTCCTTTCACCTTCAGAATCAAATACAAACTACCCTGGTGGAATCTGAAGCCCTTCTTAATTTAGTTCCCCCCTCTACTTTTCCAGTCTTTTTACAAGTTAAAAGTCCCCTCATCTTACCCTTGTACTCTTTGACATCTCTCAGCTCTAGACATTTTCTCTGGCTGTCCCCCTGTACCAGGAATGCTATCCCTTCTGGTCTGGCTTCCCTCAGGTCCCAATTAAAATCTCATCTTCTATAAGAAGCTGTTCTCAACCATTCTTAATTCTAGTGCTCTGTCTCTGTAAATTATTTCCTTCTTACCCTGTATGCTTGTTGTCTCTCCCATTACAATGTGGGCTCCTCTTTTTAATCCTAGCACTTGGAACAGTACCTGGCAAAAGAGTGTGTGATTAATAAATGCTTATTGAATGCAAGTCAGTGTGGGTCATACAGTAGGCTGGGTGGAGGATGCAGCAACCTGCTTGAAAAAAAAATGTGGAGGTTGGAAATTACGGAATGTTTGTAGAGCATCAATTAGAAAACATTTACTTTAACACAGATTATAAAAAGGATGAGTGAAGGGGACAGAGGGAGGTTGGCATCTTTTTTGTTGTTAGTCTTGTATGCCAGTGTAAGGAGTTTGGAGTTATTATTCAGAAGAAATTACGTAGTCATTGAAAGGTTTTGAGCAGTAAAGTGGTTTGGTTTGTGCAAAAGAAGATCAGCCCTGAACTTGTATGGAGAATGGATAGAATTAATATTGGAGGTAGAAAGAACGTTAAGAAACTTTTTGGTCCAGGGGTCTTGGACTCCAGAGATGGTGAGAATAGAAGAGAATAGATGTAAGGTTCTGTAGATGTAGAATAAGTTCTTCCCTTGTGATGTTTGATATGAACCCATTAGATGAAGTGGCTTACTGTTGCAAGAGCCTGGAAAAAATGGGAAGGAAAGGAATCAAGGCAGAGAAAAGGACATTCATTTCCTTAGAGTCAGAAAGGGAAGGATTGCAAGAATGTTGAGATTAGTTTTAAAACATGGAGAAGAATGGAAAAGTTGAGGAAGACCTCCATTTTCTCAATGGAGGCAAAATATCTGAACATAGGAGCTGAACACAAGCTAGAGAATGTAAAAGGTAATTAATGGGAATTTAAAAAAAAGAATTCTGAGCTACATAGTAATCAGAACAATTTAACATGCCTTAATTAGAATTTTGGCCTTGTCATTATGTCTTTTACATGAAACCACAGCTTTAAAAACTAGGGCTTATCCTTCTAAGCCTCTTAGAAGGAGGGACATTCCCAACAATCTAGTATCTTACTGCTAACATTAATATGGAATTAGAAAGCCTCCTGACTTTTCCTTGAGAGTCACAGCAGTAGTACCCTGGGTTTATTTCTTATCTTTCCGCAAGTTATTAATGTGGTGACTAGCAGAGATTCAAACTTTGGCCTTTTTCTAATTGTTTCCCAATTATGCAAAGTGGCTTTCATACTTTTTCACTTAATATATTTTGGATTTTAAAAAAGCCACAGAGTTGTGATATCATTGGGCCACTTGCTTTTATTGGCCTCTTATAGAGCAGTGTTCTCAACCTGGGGTCTTTGGACTTACTTTGATAATATTAAGCATTTAAGAATGTCTATCAGAGGCTTCACCAGACTGCCAAATAGGTCCATGATACAGAGTAGGTTAAAAACCCCTGCTATATATAGAGCTGGAGTTTTAAAATTGACAGACCTTTTAAATGTCTAGTCCAGGGGTGGAGAACCTATGGCCTCAAGGCCACATATGGCGCTCTAAGTCTTTAAGTGCAGCCCTTTGATTGAATCCAAATTTCACAAAACAAATCCCCTTAATAAAAGAATTTGTTCTGTACAACTTGGACTCAGATAAAGGACCACACCCAAGGACCTAGAAGGCCACAAGTGGTCTCAAGGCTGCAGGTTCTCCACCCCTGATCTAGTCCATTCCCTTAAATTTATACTTTTAGAACTGAAAAATTTGTCAAATTCAATTTAAGTGTAATAAGAAACTTCCAATTTATTTATTTTGTAGCATTCACAACCAAGTTTTCTTTGAATAACCTGTACAAGAATTTTCATCTTATTGCTTTGCTTTATATAGCATAGGGGAATGAAAAACAATTTTTTTTAAACTTGTAAAAGCCAATACCCTTAGCACCCCTTCTTTGGTTGTTGGGTTTTTCTTTGGTGAGGCAGTTGGGGTTAAGTGAGTTGCCCAGAGTCATACAGCTAATGAGTGTTATATGTCTCAGGCCGTATTTAAACTCGGGTCCTCCTGACTTCAGGGCCAGTGCTCTATCCACTTCGCCACCTAGCTTGCCCCCTGGCACTCGCTTTTTAAAGAACCAGTATGAAACGAGAGTTTTGAATGCTATCTTTGAATTAAATCATTGTTTTTGTCTTCCCAGAGCTACGATATGACCTACCAGCATCATACAAATTTCATAAGAAAAAAACAGTAAGTTAAAATTTATGATGTAACCACTGAAAAGATGACACATTTAGAAATAATGGGGACCTTAGAGATTATGATTGAATATTCACAGATGGACAGTTAAAAAGTTAAAAGTGGGTATTTGAACAGAAAGACAAACATGTTAAAGTAGGTAACTAACTGTTCAGTTAGTAGAGGACCTCTTCTAGTAAGCTGCCCAAAGAGTAAAAGAAAAACCTGTAGAATTAAATTATGTTGCATAGATGTTGGAACAACCCTGTATATTGGGTCATATCATATACTCACTTAATCCATGCTTTTCTTGGGGGTAACAACAGTAAAGAAAAACAAAGCCTGATTTCTATTCTGTTTTAAAACAAAAGAAACCATATAAAAATAGCAGTTAAGACACTTTTACCTTTTATATGGTATACATTTTATTTGTTGGTATTTCCAACATTACAGAGCCAGGCTTCACCAAAAGAACCTTTCTTTTGATGTTCAGATCAATGTCTGAAATGTCAACATATGTCATGAACAAAACTATACATATAAAAAAAACACCATCCAGATTAAGTAAGGATACCTGGACAACAAAAACAAGTTAAACAAAAATAGTCTTTCCTTCTATTATAGGTGGACATTGAAGTGGATTTAATTCGGTTTTCTTTTTAAAGACACCCCCCCCCCAATCTGAAACAGCTTAAAACTTATTTAAAATGAATAAAAATTTTTGTATCAAGCTACTGGTCTCCAGCTCCATTTTCTGTTTTCAACTGTTTTGGTGCAGGTTCTTCTTTTTCAGCTTCTTCTCGTGACCTTTTAAGGGATCCTATAGAAAACAATTAATTAACTGCATTCATACCAAACACTAAAATTACAAGTTTAGATTGCAACATTAAGATTGAAGACCACAAAACTAGAATGTCCTTGGTACTATTTTTAATATATTTCTGGTGATATTTTGCTATTTTCTCCAAATGAAGCTGTGTAAAGTTTCAAGAAAACAGTTTCTTCTGAATGTTCACAGATGGTAGCCTGTGATTCAAAACCAATTCTCCTACTTACGGTACAACATAAAATAAGACAATTTCTAAATAATCCAAAAGATTTAATTTTATCCAAGTATTTGAAATCTTGATTTTCTCTCCCTCTTCCATGACAACTCAAAAGATCTAAGGGGAAAGCATAGGAAGTTTCCTAAATTGGAGGGGGGGAAAAAAATCAACCCTTCAATGTACCACATAGTAAGCCAATTATCCATTCCTGTAATTCTACTATAAAGTCTTTATCTTCTGAAAAACCAAATTTCTTCATTTACAAAGATCATATATAGTTTGAAACCCTGAACAAGGGCAAAGGGTGGAACAGAAAAATATAAAAATAAAATATAAAACTTCTTAGTTTGTATTGTATTTGTCAAGAGTTAGCAACATGCAGAATGTGCTTTCTTTGTATAAGCTTATTTTCACTGACAATCAGATCAGTTCTGAATATTCCTTTCTGAATGTCACCACACTTTAAACAGTTAGGATATGCTGTCACCAGTTTGGTATTTTGTATTTTAAAATGGTCATCATCCTAAGCCAACTTATTGCAAAAGTTGTAATGAAGTTCTCACACAAATAAAGCTTACCTCCAGCATCACCATTTTCCTGTTCTTCATCGCTATCAAATTTTGTTTTTTTGCCCTGGAATTGTATTTTTCCTTTATTGGGTGTACCCTGAACAGCTTTACCACCTCCTCTTCCTTTTCCTTTAAATTTGCGACCTGTAGATATAGTTTTTTAAGATTTTGAAAGCTTTACCTATACTTATTCCTTCAGTTTCTTATTTTGGCTTATGCAGTAGTTAGCATTTCCATTACAGTGATAACAATGTTTTATTCCTGGATCTTACTGGAAAAGCCTACCATTTCTCCATTATAGATTTATTCTACATTTTAGTTTTATTTTTATTATTATTATTTTTTTGGTGAGGCAATTGGGGTTTAAGTGACTTGCCCAGAGTCACACAGGTAGTGAGTGTCATGTGTCTGAGGCCACATTTGAATTCGGGGCCTCCTGACTTCAGGGCCAGTGCCCTATCTACTGCTCCACCTAGCTGCCCCTACATCTTACTTTTAAATATCATTAAAATGGTCAGTTTGTCTCAATATTTTTAATATAAATGGGTGCTTGGGGCTTTTAAAAAACTTATTTTGGCTAAGATTTTTTCAGATGAGGGAGTAAGTATAGACAAATTAGAAATAAAATTGTTGCTTTAGTAAATTATAAAATAAACCCATAAAAAATCAATCTTTTTGTATATTACCAACAAAATAAGTTTTAAAATTCCCAAGTCACTTTAAGTTACCTGGCTGTAATTCTCTCATCTGTAAAGGGGAGATTCAAACTAAGTAATCTTGCAGTATTCTATTACCTTTCGACTTCAACTTATTTAGGGATTCCTGTTGGTCTTCAATGATTTTTTTCAAAGCTTCTTTCTCTGTCTCTCCTTCTAATACTTCCCATGTTACATCTTTGTTTCTTAATTTTAAGTTTCCATTATTTGCTTCATTGGCTTTGTCCAGTGCTTCTTTTGCCTTTTCTTTAAATAGGATTATTCCCTGTATCAAACAATAACCATACGTATTACATTCCAAGCTGAATCTCAAAGTATACATTAAAACAGCAAAGTAATTTTACTATCTTTATAGCTCTGGAAAGAATATGATAAATTCAAAACTGAGAAAACATTTTTAAATCTTAGTGCTTTGAGTATTATGACCTACGATAGGTCTCTGCCCATAAAGGACTCCTTAAACAGTCTTATCAGTTAACATTTTTAAGCTGGTAAACTAGCCTAGATTGAAATCTACCATTCTAAAGATCTTAATAAGAAATACTATGGAAAACATCCACCTGATGTTTCTAATACTATAAATGTATTTGGCTATCACAGTGGCAGATCCAAAGAGACAATAGTAACAAAAGAAGAAATACCTGTCCAAATTCCACTGTAGAAACCTCTACCCCATTAAAACAATGCAAAAGTGACTTCTGTTGAATTTTTCTATCCCAATCAAAATTCCTACGTTTCTGCTGAAAACTCTTAATGATTATATAGCACTTAGTCTACAGAAGACAAAGTCTAATCAAGTGAAAATGTTTCATGACTGCAGTAAGTTGTTCCCACCACCACCACCCAAACAAAAAAAAGGGGAAAGAGCATTTCATTCTTAATTAAGAAAAAAGCAACCATGGTTCTCCTGAATGCAGCTTTTTAAAGTGCTGAAATAAAACACATCTCTAACCTCTTTTGCTCCTCTGATGAAGTCTATCCACTTTATTTCTCCATGATTAGAGAAAAGTGTGTGAAGATCTTCTCTACAGGTTTGATCATCTAAATCACCAGAAAATTTCAGCAAGCATCCAATCTTTTCATCCAGGGATTTCTAAAGAACCATAAATAAGATTAAATATTATGAGGAATCAAAAAGTTTCTTTTTAAAAACCGTAGAAATTATTTCATCATTCCACCTATGTAGAAAATAAGTAAAAGTCTGGTATAAGATAATATAATACTCAAGACCTCTGAAAATTTCTGCAAAAGATATCAGAGTTTAAAATTCTAAAGAATCTGGCATGTTTTGACCTACAGAAGTTCAAAACAGCTGTTGACCAAGTTGACAATTATACCCTTTTTCCTAAAAATTTTCTTTGTAAAATCTCCTTCATATCGTGGTCTTACTTTCTTCTACAAATCATGTTTACCAAAGAACTAAATAACATAGCTGATTAAATCAAACCATGTTCTTTAGAAAATAAAACTTTAGGTAAGTAGTACTTGGGGCCTTACAAATACTGAATTAAAAGTTATTGAAATATTTCACTTTCATATATGTACTATTATGGTACAATAAAAATGGTTACTTGTAACCGTAGAAGATATACTGACCCAGCTTCATCATTTACATGTTTAAATGATAAAGACCATTACACTTAGACACAAGAACTCAGTACTTGCCAATTCAGCATCTTCTGCTTGCCTCTGTTTTTCTTCTTGCTCTCTACAAAATAATAGCATCAATGAATGTTAAAGCTGAAAGGAATTTAAAGATAAATCTAATCTCAAACACCTTAGTCTAACAAATAGCAAAGCAAAGGCCTACAAAAGTAATCTTCATCAAGTCACAAAGTTAATAATCAAGTTAACTAAGAACTCTCCATTATGAAGACCTCAGTTAAGTCTGGCAATTTTGTATTCCCTAAATCATCCTGTGAATTTCCATGCTCCTTGCAAGCATTTTAAGTTGTCTAAACTCAAAACTCATTACCTTAAAATACCTCACTCTCAGAGCCTGATCTAGTTTTCACAAGGGCCCACCAAAACAAATTCTCCCTCCAAACATCTTCTAATGGGCACTTCAAGTTCTGAGGTGATCTGCCACATACTATATGTTTATGGTTAGTAGTTAGTAGTACATGATTTGAAATGTAGGGAAATAGTTTTAAATTTCACTTCCACAATACTTACTGTTTAGCTTTTGCCTTAGCCTCTACTTTATTTTGCTTCCGTTCTTCATTCTTTTTTGCAAAGTAATCTTCCCTAAAGGACAGATAATTGAGTTATTAAATGTCTAGGAGGAAACCTTAAACAGTATGACTATAAAATAAGAAACAACTTTTCCCACTTGGTTTGGGAGAGAACAGAACCACTCTGGAATCTCCTAGGCCACACAACTACTAGCACAGGGTTCCCGGCTCTTGGACCAGTAACAACTGATTAAATTCCTCTTACATGTTCATAGTTACCATACTGTCCTCTGGTTGTTTTAACTGTTTTGCATTATACTTAACAATCTTAATTACATTTATAGCATCTTAATGTAACAAGACATACTGAGCCAATTATCAATCAGGTAAGACCCCTTGAAGATCTTTAATTAGAGAGTTCTTTGGTTTGTTTTCCACCATACTTCATATAACATACTCCCAATTTTGCCCAATTCTTTTCCCAACACTATTTGTTGAAAGTTTTCTTTTCCAGTGAACATGATTTGATTTCTGGAATTTACCGGATCAACAGAGAGGATTTATCTCTATTTTTTTATTGATAACTGCCAGATTTTTCTCTCAGAAAGATCAAAGTTCAGGGGCAGCTAGGTGGTGCAGTAGATAGAGCACAGGCACTGGAGTCAGGAGGACCTGACTTCAAATTCGGCCTCAGACACCTAACATTCACAAGCTATGTGATTCTGGGCAAGACACTTAACCCCAATTGCCTCATCAAGGGAAAAAAAAAAAGATCAAAGTTCTTACATTTCCATCAGTAACAAATGTGTACCTAGTTCTGCAAAATCCAGCCAACACTAGAGTTCTTTAGCTTTTAATTCTTTTTGCCAATTTCAAGGGTGTGAGGTAGTGTTTAGTTTATATCCCAAAAGGAAGGTTAGGCATTTTTTCAAGTGATAAAACAAAATTCGTTTCCTTTTCTGTAAAATGTTCGTTTACAGCCTTTGACCACTTATTCATTGTGAACTAGTAAACTTTTTTACAATTTTTTATTCCAGGATTCTGCCCATCATAATTCCTATAAATACTCCCTTCAGTTATACTTCTATGCAGAAATTTATTCTAATAAATATCTTCTCCCTAATAATTCCCTCTGTTCATCTCTCTTCCACAACAGAATTAATGAATCCTTTTCTCCTAGTTTTGATTTTCTACAGGTTTATCAAACACTAATACTTTACATATACTTACAGTTTTAAAGAAACCACTTGGTATCTTGATTATAATATATATTATATGTATATAAAATGTATAATGTATATATGAATATATACATTATATATTATAAATATAATGAGGACTATCATCATTTCTACTATATTAACCCAATCCATCCATGTACAACCAAAATCCTTATTATTATTTAATTCTTCCTTGAATCTCATCATTCTGATTGTCCTTATACAAGTCTGACCTTCCTACTGCACTATGGCTGCCAAAATGACCATAGCGAAGATTTGCTGCAATATGTTCAACCTGTTACAGCAATATTTTTCAAGGTTAGATAGTCAGGCTCATGTTAACAATGTCAAATAAAATATGTTTCAGTGTTGGCATGAGAAATAACCACAAGAGCCCAGAATATAAAATCTGAGTTACATCTTCATTAAAGACTTAAAATTTAAGCATGTTAAAAGAATTTAACAGACTATCACAATCACAGTCTTCTAGGTAGAAGGACCATTAGACCATGAAGGAATCCCACTTGATACTGGACTACTCTCTATAATAGCCTCGGACAGTCCATCCTCTGGACTCTCCTTTATTAAAGGACCTCACAGATCAGTTAGTTACTCATCTTATTTTAAAGATTAAGAAGTTGAGGCCCACAGCTTGAACTAAACATTTAGAGTAATTAAAAAAAAATTCAAACTCACAAGAAAACCCATTTCCTTTCTGGATGATCCTATAATATTGAAAATTCTCCCATATACCTGCCTCCTGATAACTTCTACCCACTGTTACCTCATCATGCCCACAGAAGCTCCAAAATAGCAATTGACTCTTCTCTCCCTCTAGTTGACAGCCCTTCCAAAATATTCCTCCTCAAGTTCCTTTCCAAGATGAACAAACCTACCTATTCCTTCAACTATTTCTAATCTAATATGGTCTGATGACTCCTTTACCATTGGTTTATCAATATACCACTTGAAATGCAGTGCCGAGAACTAAACACAATCCTCTAGCTGCACTCTGGGACAGAGAGGGACTTTGATATATCCCTTTCCTAGATACTATAGTTCTATTAACAGAATGTAAAATAGCCTTCTTGGCAAGCATGTCATACCACTGACTCACTTACATTTTCTTTCAGCTACTCTCAGAGCTTTCCCCAAGAAATGTCTCCATCTTGTATTTGTATATTTTTTAAAACCAAAAATGCAGGACTTAACTTTGTAATATCTCAAAGTCTAAACAGGACTTTTGTTACTTTCTATAAATTCAAAATGTTGATTACAAAGCCCTGTGGGCATGCCACTAAAAACTTCCCTATTTGTTGACATCATCCATTATCAACATTTAGGTCCACTTGTTCAACGGGCTACATATAAACAAACCAATTTTACTTTTATGGCATGATTTTTTTCCTTTGTGAAACTGGCTCCATATTTACAGTTATGAAAATTAGACATTAAAAATTCACTAAAATGTGCACAATCAGGCAGTCCTCTTTTCCCCCCATTTTAATCAGAAGGTAATCATGAGACTCAAAATGTCTTTTTTAAGTCTAGATACACTACTGTCTATACATTCTAATGTACTAGTCAAATAATCTTACCTCCCAAAAATGCTGATAAAACTTTTTATCTGAGAATTGAACTGGCTTGTAGCAGTCAATGTTTCAACAGTAAGCTTTGAAAAGGCACAAAAAACTTACAGAAGTTCAGAAAGAAGGTTTATATAGGAAGCCCTCATCCACAGAAAACAATGTAAATGATGAAAAAAAGGCCAGATTTGGTCTTTTAAATAAAGAATTCATAGTGAGAATGATGTTTACAGTTAAATTTAAATGAAGAAAAACTCATTATGAAAGAGTTAACAGTGGTAACATTTCTGACAATGTGGCACCTATTATAATCTTTCTAGGGAAACTGAATAAAAACATGGCATTCTCAGGAAACTGCTAGTGAAATTCTGTTTTCAGTATAAAGCCAGAAACAAAATGCCAAGTAGTGCAACAGATCATCTCAATATTTTGAAACTTTCCCAAAATGTGCATGTTAAATCAAAATAAGACAATAATAGATTTATCACTGATAGCACCCACTGTTCATGTAGCAATCATCTCACATGAAATAGTCTGTTAGACTTAACAAATCATATTTTCGTAAGGACTCCTAAAAGCTCCCAACATGCTGCCCTTGAAGCCTCCCCTCCCTTTACTTGTTCACCTTCCTAATATAATATTTGTTGAAGTATTATCAAACTAACTTACTTAAAGAGTATCAGCAGCTCTGTATCTTTGTATTTCTGTCCAGGGGTTTCTATAAACTTCTTGGCAGATTCAACACTATCAAACACAGCAAATATTGATCCCTATTGAGTAATAAGAAATTATTTTAAAAGGAGATTATTGATATTTTATGCAATTCCAGAATTTTACTTTTACAGTCAAAGAAGTACATAAATTCTCATACCTTAAATGCTTTATGTAATGTTCTCCTCATTTGAATATTTTGTACTTGACCTTTGCCCTCTAACCATTCTTTTATGTCATCAAGGGTTGCATCTGTTGGAAAACCTTTCTAGGAAGAGCAGAGAAGGAAGGGATGATTAATTAGAAATTGCAATATCCAAAAAATGACATTTCAGCTAAATAATTAGAATTCAAACATGCCAACTTTATGGCAAAATAGCACATTTAAGTTGTTTATATCTTATAGTAGAAATAAATCTACATGGGGCAATTGGAATTGCCCTCAAATACAGTTATTAAAGAATAAACGTAAAGTAAGCTCCAATAGAAGAAGTCATACTTACAACATAGATGGATCTGTTTTTTACTTCATTTTTATATTCATCTGTTACTTCAGGGAGGGGTTTGTTTGGCGATCTTCTGATTTTAGTTTTATCCTCACTAACTTCCATGAGTTCTGCCTTTGATTTCTTCAGAGCACTTCTTATCACATCGAAGTCTTTTGTTAGTTTGCTCAATCTTTAAAAAAAAAAAGAGAGAGAGAGAGAGAGAAAGAAAGGGAGAGTCATAGTGGAAAAGCAGCATTGTGTTGAGAAGCATAAGACTTTTTACAAAGATTTTTACCTGTTGAATTTGATCATTATCTCCAAAGGTACCCAGCCATCATCTATTTTGATCTGTTCCTTTAAAAATTTGTCTCGTGGAAGGTTAAAGTCACCAAAATAGTACTGTAAAATGAGTACAACATATTGTCATTGTAAATATTCATAAAGAAAAGGAAATTTGACTTAAGTTCCAACTAGTTACAGGGGAATGGCATTTCATTTATATGAACCAGTGTAAGGATGACAGAGTGACCTAGAAACAATAAGGACAACTCCTCTTAAATATTATATTAAGATGGTATTATGGAATATAAATATTTGTTGAGCATAAACCCAAGGTAACTAATCAAAAAGATTTAAATAATTGAAGATCCTGGGAGACATGTAAGTAAATGGACCATGCAGATCATTAGAATTGCAAACTTGTACATATAAAAGACTGTCTTTTTCTGAATATCCGAAAGCATTTATCAAAGCATCAGTTTCAAGGATAAGCTATAAAATGTGCCTCTTTTACAAAAGGTGTTCAGGTAAGATAAGCATGCTTCTGGCTGACTTTCTTTAGAACTCCACCAAAAATGAGACATCTACCTCCACTTTATCTGGAGGCTGGCCAACTCTCAATGATGACAATTTATAATTGGATGTACATGCATTTTAGAATTAAGATAAATGAAAATCTGCGATTAATAAAACTTTGAAAATAATTTATCTGTTGGCGATTATCTAATTTATCCATCCTCTGGTCTTGAATGGCATAGTTAACAGCATCTCAGCTATAATAAAAACTCCCAGTCCACTGCTCTTCCCCAATGATCAATATTTAGTTATGAGAATTTCAAATTATAAAAATTCATGAAGTATTTCCCCCAGACATTAAGACCAAATTATGTTTTTAGATGGTCAAAGTTTCAATTTAACTAAATGAAAAAATTATAATAATTCACACCTTTTAATAAAGAGTAGTACCTAGCCAGAAAAAGAATAATGTCAAATTCAGTTGCTAAAAGCAGCTGAACCAGATAATTAGGTATATAAAATAGAGCCATCTAGCATCACTACTATTTTCCCTATCACCAAATTTCACACCTACTTTTCTTTAAAGTTTGTTCCCTCCTGAAGGGATGCTTTGCAGTTCAGATAGACAAGAATTCTTAACTTTGCTTAGAACTAAGTACATATTTCTAAGGCTGTTACATCTTTAAAAGACGGGCAAACATTCTGATGTTATTATAATGGCAAAGTTATCAGAAACATTAATTTTATTGGAAACAATTATGCTGTCAGGAAGATTTATACAAGCAAGCTGAAGAAAGACCATGTATTTGGCAATACAAAGGTCTGTTTCAGAAGTCAGGAAGCTGCAGCCTTGAGGCCACATGTGGGCCCTCTAGGTCCTCAAGTGTGGCCCTCTGACCTAATCTAAACTTCACAGAACAAATCCCCTTAATAAAAGGTTTTGTTCTGTAAAATTTGGACTCAGTCAAAAGGCCACATCCAAGGATCTCAAAGGCCACGTATGGCCTTGAGGCTGAAGGTTCCCCACCCCTGGCTAGACCCTTCATACTATAGTTGTGTTAGAGATATCATAGATGAAGATTTAAAAACCAGATAGTTGAAGTGACTTACACAACATTATATAGCAAGCTAGTGAAAGAACCTGCTGTAGTCCAGTGTTCTTTTCTACAGCCCTACCATGAGTATCCACTAACATATTAGTTTATCAGATTGTTGTTCTTCAATCAACTGACTCTTCTGACTCTTTCTGAAACCTTTTAGGGTTTTCTTGCAAAGATACTGAAGTGGTTTGCCATTTCCTTCTCCAGCTCATTTTAGATGAGGAAACTGAGGTCAAGAGGGTTAAGTGACTTGCCCAGGGTCACACAGCTACTAAGTGTATGAGGCTGGATTCAAACTGAAGAAATTGAGTCTTCCTGATTCCAAGCCCAGTGTCTATCCACTGTGCCACCTAGCTGCCCACAGCTTACCAGATTAACTAGCTATTATTTATTAGACAGCAGGACTCCACTGAATGGAACACAGGATAGATGAATTTTAATAGGGGAGACAACTGAAACATGAAGCAGTTTAGGTGGGGGTGGGTGCCAAGTACAGTTGGAGATGGTGCCAAAGGGAAATGATAGGAGTCTGGGGAAACCAATGAGTAGTATATGAAATACTAGTCACCTGGGGATATGGAGACTGAATGCTGATAAAAAGAGAGGGAATACTACAGGCAAACATCACCTGCTCAATAATTCTGAAGAAACATCCTGAGGAAAACTTATGAAAATAGAAGAAACCTAAGAAAGGATAGCAAAGAAACCTCCCCACATTTTCATTTTTTTCATTCCCTGAAATGAAAGAGAGAACACAGACTTTTGTACTGCCAAATGCATAGTCATTCTGGCCCTCTGACTCAATCCAAAATCCCCTTAATAAAAGGATTTGCCCATGAAGTTTGGATTCAGTCAAAAGGCCACACTTGAGGACCTGGAGGGCCTATGATCTGCAAAGATCATAAGTTACCATGATTAAGCATAATATCAAGATTCCTCAGTAGAACCATGAAATAATAACCAGTATAAATCATAATTGGAGTTCCATAAGTTAAAAATGCCAAAAAACTTTAGATGACAATTTCAATTATGAAAATAATTAGAAAATAGATATGTGAATAAGGCAGAGCAATTGGTGTTACTTTGCATGAAAGAAGTTTGGAAAAACTTCAATGATATAAAAGATTATTAAACAGAAAGCAATAATTAACTCTTCTCTATTTCCAGTGAAAACAGAATCAGAAAAACAGCTTCAAAACAAGAAAAATTTCTTAATTCAAAGGTTCATTCAGCACTACAATGGATTATTGACATGATATAAGATAGAAGAGGGGTGAATAAGAATGTCTTTAAAAACAGTAAAATGGTACCTGTCCAAAATGATTTGAGACAATCTTATCTAAAGGCAGGGAGACTAAAATACAAGATGACCTTTCTAAGGCCTCTTCTATTTTTATAATTTTACAGACCAAACAACTACAGTTTTATTAATAGCATATATTAATATATTTGCCAGCATCAACAGAATGGCATAGCTTCATTTGAATCAGTTATAATATTAAAACAAAGGTAAGTACTACTGGTGTCTATTTTACAAACTCTAATCATACCTCAATTTGTTGGCAAATTTTGGACTCCAGATCAGTCATTTTTTCACTGTCACCATTCTCAGCCATTGTAGAAGCCTGTAATTTTTCAAAAGAAATCACCATGAAGTTATCTTATTTTTTCAGGTAAACTCATCTATGAAAACGAAAAAACTAGTACCTAATGCCTCCTCCCACCAGTGCCTGGTGATTGTTTACAATTTAGGAATCCTGCCAGCATCACATCTCTGTTAAATTTGGTCAATCAACTAAAAGACCAAAAATGTATTAACTGCAAAGATTAGGCACCAACTTCCTATGAAATTTTCCTTCAAACATAGATGATTTCATACTGAATCACAATAGAACTTCTCCAAAATAAAGTTAGCTAACAGGGATGAAGAAAAAATGATAAAAAGAAGATAGCTGACATTTAAAAATAACACTTTAAGAGTCATGGTTATCACCTAAATAATAACTTTATATATTTATTATGTTCTTTAGCCCAGAGGGGAAAAAATGCATTGGTTAACTCTATGAGTAGGTAAAGTAAATATTATTATTTTGTAAATGAGGAAACATGCAAAGAGAAGTTAAACAATTTTTATACAGACACAAGATTTAAAGTTCTAAGCTGAGTTTGGAGCCTACATGTCCTGCCTGCAAATCTAAAGACAGTTACACTTTTTGTTTATCTATAAAAATGCGGAAAACTTATCTGCTGATAATTTTTTTTTCCAGCCAAAGACAAGGTTTATTGGGTAGACTCTTAAGGAGTCTGAACATTAGTGAGCTATTGGCTAGATTATAAGAATCTGAGCCATCTGCTGATTTCTTAATGGCCTACTTTCTGATACAATTTCAATTTGTAATATATTTTTTAAAAAACTTCTACAGTATTAATGTTAGATGTACTCATATCAAAGTGCTCTTTAAAATGTTTCCAAAGAAATGGTTTCATTTATATCTATTTCCTGACTCTTGAACATTAGTGATAACATTACAAATAGGTACTATAAAGTTTCTTTTCATTAACACTCAAAAGCAATAGTTCTCTTTCTGATCTCAAAGCACTTATGGAAAAATAAGCTAATTAAAAAATATATACAGGTAACAGAATAGAATTGAGGGGCTGAAAGAATCCTTAAGAGCAGTGTTCAAAAGATTAGCCTTAATCCTAATGATCAGTTAAAAAAAAAAAAAGATCTTGACATATCAATGCATTGGGTGGGAGGAACAGCATTTACTGTGTGCTAAGGGATAGGCTGAAAACTAAATTACTGCCTAAACTATGGTTCTCAAGAAATCTTTAAGGAAGGTACTACCAGAGTAGTTTAAGGGGTTTCCTCACCCTGGATTCGAACAAGCACTTCACTTAAGATTATATTCTAAGTATTAGGTCCTGCAATAGATTGGGCTGGGATGGAAAGTTAAGAGTTGGTGAGTGTCCAGCTCAGCCAAAGAGATCAACAAGTTCAACTTAACTGTTTTACAGATGGGGAAATTAAGGGCCAAAGAAGTTAAATAATTTGTCCAAAGTCAATTTGTTAACTAGAGAAAGGGAAACCTCAAAGTCAGGCCTCCTCCATCCTAATACCTATCTTCGATTATAACTTTATGCCTGATTTCTCTTCTATCGTATTTGCTTTAAAATGGCATACAAAATCTGCCAAATACATATGACAAAAAATCACCGTAACTTTTCCAAGTACATTCTTTAAAGGACATTACTTAACAAAATTCCAGGGCAGATCCGCACCGTCAGTTACAATCTTTTGTCATGGGAATTTAACCTGCATAAGAACTAGCTTACTTAAGCATCTGGCCAATTTGGTCCATTTGATGATGACTGTCTTGACCTGCGCACTTGGGGTTATTTTGGCACCTCTGGTTTTCTCCTACCTCGGCCCCTTTAAGGTCCTTGACTTATTTGGATCAGACACCTCCAAACACAACCAGGGATTTCGGTCTCGCGGTTTAAAGAAGTCTGACAGGCCCGAAGGCTCTCTTAGAACATCGTAGCCGCGGTTGGGAGCACAAGGCCCGGGCCGCCCGGCCTCTCGCTCCCACTGCCAGCTCAGGCGGGGCCCCGAACATCCGCCTTCCGGCAGCGGCCTCTTCCCGGGCCCAGATGTGGAGAGGAGACGGGACCGAAGGACCCAGGAAGAAGGGAGGGATCCGCGGCGGAGGAGCGAGGGCCCGCACGACCCCCATCTGAGAGTTTCTTTCTCGGGGAGGAGCCAGAAGCTGCGGCCCCGGGCCCAGCACGTGTGCGGAGCCGCGCGGTTCCGTCTGGTCGGCTCCATCCCAGGGCAGCACGCGCTGGCCCTCCCCCCACCCTCCTCAGCCCGCACGCACAGCCGGCTCTCCGGCCGCCGACCTCCGCAGCCCGGCCTCTCGCCGCGAGGGCCCAGCAGCCTGCAACAGGAGGGCAGAAGCGGAGGCCGGGCCGCCCAGGATCCCTATTCCAGCAGAGCGGGAGGGTGGAACGGAAAAGGAAAGCGAGTCAATACCGCCCCTCTTTCCAGGGAAAAGTCAGGTCTTCCAGCCCCTCACCTATTCCGTGAGGTTCCGGCAGGGTCTGCGACGGCCCGCCACGATCGCCACGATCCACGAACTCACTCCTCGACTCCCTGAGGCAGTGCAGCTGCCTGCACTCGTCCGCTATTTCAAGGCCGGAGCTGGGCCCCGGCCCAGCAGCCCCCGCGGCCGGAGGCGGGGCCTAGCCTCATCTGGAGGAGGAGCTGAAGTGGGAGCATGCGCAATGTGAGGCGCCCGCGGGAGGGGCCGGCCTAGGGTCCCCGTGGACCCGAAACCGGGGAACTGTGGCGGGTCGTTGAAATTCCCGTGTCAACATAAGGCTTTGGGTTGTGCTTTTGGGTGTCTCTTTCTACCACCGCTCTTGTCTTCGGCTCCCCGGTTTCCGGGGCGGGGTTTTTCTTTCTCTAGTTAAAAGGAAGGCGGCTCCCTTTGAAGTTGTCTTCACAACACGAGACTTCCTGAACTGTTTTTAGCTTAACCCCAGCTCGTTTAGAAGCGATAAGCAGCTTCAGAAGTTATTTATCCCTTTCGTCACCGGAATATTCCTGTTAACATGTGAAGGAAATGTTACTGAACAGTTTTGTTCGTATTCCGATTTTCGGATTTTTGGAGTTTCCTGCTCAGGCCATCAGGCATTTGTCTTTTCCAGCAAGCCTACAATAGGGTCATAGCAAAAACGGAACGTCCCAGACGTAGGTGTGTTCGACGCGTTTCGGTAGGATGTACACTCAGAGAATTCTTTTTAAGGCCAGTTACTGAACACTCAGTTATAAAAGGCATGTTCACTCACCAAGTGAGGAAAACCGAAGCAACTACACTTTTCTTAAAAACACAAACTTTAAAAATGAGAAACACATTGCCAAATTCTTTTTGAGATGTTAGAATGTGCCTGGGCACACCTTGTACCCACACCTATGACTATAAATTATTTCTTGGAGGGATGGAGGAACTCTACAAATTAAGCCAAAGAGGCAAAGAACACAACGTGAATGTGGTTATTGTTCAACTGTAAAATGGGGATAATAATAGCATCTACCTTCCAGGGTTGTTGTGAAGATTACAAGTTAATATTTATAAAGGCCTAACAGTGGCTGGCAAATAGCGGGCACTTAATAAATGCTGTTTCCTTTTTTCCTTCCATTTTCACCTATTAGGCTTGCTTGATGTTCACTTTTTAGCCAAGACTAAGAGAGGGAAATAATGGTTAGTTTACAACTCTTTTTCAAAAGATCATAGTTTTTGAACTGGTAGAATCCAAGCACTTTATTTTATGACAAAACCAACAAACCCAGAGAAGTTAACCAAATTGTTCAGAGTAACACAATTACTAAGTATCTGAGATGGAATTTGAATCCAGGTCTTCTTGACCCCAAGTCCAGTACTTTTTTTTTAATTCTAAGGACAAAGTCAACAGTTTAGGTTTTTTTAAATCCTTTCCTCCCTTAAAATATCCTTAAAACAATACTCAGAGTAGGAAGACTTGCCTACATTCATTAAGGTCACACAAACAACATATATCATGTAGGATAAAATTTAAAGCTTATATGTCTTTCCCTTTTATCAAAATGTGAATAATTTGCACTTTATGCTTTTAAGTATGGTTTTATTCCTGTATTGTGGTTAAGTCAGTTGTTTTGTTGAGACCATTAAGTTTATAATTAAGATTAGTTTGAAAATAACTAACACACATTTATTAACCACCTACCAGTGTCAAAAACTGTGCTTAAGTGCCAAGAACACAAATGCAGAAGTGAAACCCATTTGACCCCAGAATCTGTCATTTTACCTCTAGTTTCTGATACAGCTAATAATAGAAAGGAAACAGCTAACTAAGAATACTGCCATTGTAATGGAAGAAATGAAGAAAGATGCTTTCGGAGAAACCTAGGAAAACTTGTATGAACTGATAGAATGAAGTAAGCAGAACCAAGAGAAGAGTTTATACTATAACATTAATACTGTGGGGGCAGCTAGGTGGCACAGTGGATAAAGTGCTGGGACTGGAATTGTGAAGATTCATTTTCCTCAGTTCAGATCTGGCCTCAGATAGTTACTTAGCTGTATGACCCTGAGCAAATCACTTAACTTTGTTTGCCTCAGTTTCCTCATCTGTAAAATAAGCTAGAAAATGGCAAATCACTGTAGTATCTTTGACCCAAATGGGGTCATGAAGAGTTGGACAGGGCTGAAATGACTGAACAGCAAAAATCAATACTGTAAAAATGAACATTTTGACAAACTTAAGAACTCTGATCAAGGTAAAGGTCAACCATGATTCCAGAGGCATGATGACCACCTCATGACAGAGAAGTGATGAATTAATATCTGGAATGTTCTCATTTTTGGATGTGGTCAATGTAGGAATTTGTTTTGTTTGACTATCTTATACGACACAAGGGTTTTGTATTTTTTTTTCAAGGTAAAGGATATGGGAGGGGGAAAATGCTAGATAATTGAAAGACAAAAATTTATGTTAAAAAGTGCCCCTTCTATGTGTCATTAATGTTTCGTCATGATCTGAAGATGAAGAAAAATTGGAATTCTTGGAGTTAGAAGCTGGAATAGGCTCATTTATTTAAAAAAAAAGGCAACACAAATTAATCACTCATTTTAGAATTTTAGAACAAATAATTTCCATTATCGTCAAAGTAGAGCCTATATGAGTTACCCTGTACAATCTACAAAAATGTAGTTTTCAGACTTATTTTATTTGAAACAAAAATTAAAGTGAACATGTTTCCCTTTGTATCTTTGGTGAATTTTGTCACCTTGTATTTTTTAATGTAATAGTTAAGATTGCTTACTTTTGTTCCTTCTCTTTGTAGAAACGAATACTCCAAAAACAGTTTGTTGTTCAGTTGTTCCAGTCATGTCCGACTCTTTGTGACCCCATTTGGAGTTTTCTTGACAAAGTTTTCTTGGAGTAGTTTGACATTTCTTTCTCTAGCTCATTTTAAGATAAAGAAACTGAGGCAAAGAGGATTAAGTGACTTGCCCAAGTTTTACAGCTAATTTCTGAGGCCAGATCAATCTTCCTGACTCCACCTTTGTGCCACCTAGCTCCAAAAGCAGTAATTGGTCTCAATTTTCTCAGCTAAGACTAAAGGAGTTGGTAGGGTTACGGTCTTGAGAAGAACATTTAGAACATCCCTTATGGACAATTTGATGAAGCATTCCCACCGTAATGAAGGTAAATCAAAAGGCTCTCCTGATTTGTTGGTCTGGGGCTCAATTCCCATGAAACTGGGCATGTTCTAATTAATTCTGTGGGTGTGGATACATTCTTTGACACAGCCTGAAATTACTTGAACTTTGAGACAACTAAGCAATCCCTTATTGGTCCTCATGTTGGGGGGAAGGGGGAACTGTGAAATGATTGGCAACTGAATCTTGAAGAGCTGTCCACTCAGTAAGCTAAAAAAAAAAAAGAGTGGAGAAGGACCCCATTTATTCCCTCCCCTCTTTTGAACATATTGACTGAGATTCTGCTAACTCTCCCTTGAATTTTCAAAAAGGGGAAAAGGAATTTTCCACCCCCAGCTGTGAGCACATGGCAACAAGAACATGTGCTTACCTAGAGTGCTAATTGCCCAAAGGAAGGTGTTTCCTGCAACTTTATGGAAAAGGAGCACTACCAAGAGAAATTGCCAGAAGAATGCCAGAGATGAAAGGAATAAGAAAACTCAAGCCATGCCCTGGCTTGCCAAGAAATCCTGACTTGTGAATTCCATAGACAGTGTAGGAGAAAATGGAGGAGAAAGTGAAGTATCTCTTCATTAGTAACAAAACGCGCCTTTACCTAATAGGTAATGGAACGTTGTCTCACTTTTTAAACATTTGTTAATGCACATTCGAGACTCTTTTGTGTTTTAAACATTTCTTTTTGTAGTGGAAGAAATAAATAGCTATCAGATAGCTACTTTGAAAAAGGAGTCTTTTCTATAAGGGACCTTATTAACCCACTTTTGGGGAGACACTAGTTAAGAGCCATTGCTAAGTTTGATTTAAGAGCTCTTCCCCAAAAATTTGCGGTGAGGGAAGTTCCCAGGGAATCCAAGAAAACCTGGTAACTCCTTTCTCCTGGCTCCCCCAGGCATGAATCCAATCCTCTAAGTGTGACTTGTGGGAAGGGGTGTCCCCTAGTCAACTGTCTCCAAACAGCAGTGAGGGATGAATTAAAGTTAGTTAGCATATACATATAATGGAATTCAGCAAAGTTAGAGAGAAGACTGTGAGAACAATGCTAATCATCACTGCAGGGGATAGTGGGTAAGTGGGTATATGGGCCCTACATGTTTGCAGTTAACAAAAACAGGAATTAGAAGTTAATATATGATTGAGTGGAACAGTAAGGGTCTGAACAGCATCAGGGAGTAAGGAACAAGCCTTCTGGTTTCACAAGTCTGTAAGATGAGAGATGTGTCGTCAGGATAAGCCAAGTTTCAGTTTCTGAGTTTACATAGTTTTTTTAAGAAGCAATAAAGTTTCAATGAAAATTTGTTTATAATGGGAGATGGGGCAGAGCCAGAGGCTCTATAGAGGATACCAGAAGAGGATAGGGAATGATGCTAGTAGTAAGGATTAAGACTGATCAGGATGAGAGGGTTAGCAAGAAAATGAACTTGTGCCTAGGACAGGGGTAGTTTGGGATGTTATATTTGAGAGGAATAAGAGATTAGCAGACTTAAAACTTGAGGAACTAGTTATGAACTTAACAGTAGACAGAAAAAAATGTATACTTAAGAACTAATGTGTTTTGGAGAAGCTAAATACTAGTATGTCTTTAAGTAAAATAAGTGCCATGAGAATTGGAAAGTTTTGATAGCACCATGCTATTCTCAATGTCTGGTTTGATTTTACTTTCATTTTAAAAACTAAAGGACAAATTTAAAAATTTTGATGTGTAAGGGTTAGCCTGATATCTTAACTAATTAAGAAAAGGTCTCAATAAATCATAGGTCTTAACAAGAACTTTCCAGCTTTTAAAGGTCTGGAGAATGTTTGGACTTCCCATTTTCCCACTGCTGTACTAAACACTGTCCCCAGACTATCAGTAGTATTTACATTGGGAGCCAAGGACAGACTGGACGTGTTCTCTGTAAGAAACCCAAAAAGAAACCATGCCATGCCTGAGGGGGGACGCATCTTGGATACCCCATGAATAGGAAAAAAAGGGCTTCCATTAATCAGGAACTGTTACCCTTTTGCCACACATGCACTCTTAAGGTTGAGCTCACGTTTCCCTGGACCCTTCGTGTACTTGAAGAAAACCATGTCACAGAATTTGGGGGTTTTTTGTGTCAACTATTGTCATACCACCTTAGTAAATGCCCCTTTCTAAAATTTACTTTAGTTGATTTTCAAGTGTTAATGTTAGGGGAAACTCACCAGTGGGGGCTCAAGACAACAGCATTAGCCAATCACCTTTCCTCACCCCACAGGTGGTATCCCTCAACCTTGAAGGAAGATAGTAGCTAACCAAGCTCTGAAGACCAAACTCATGGAATGAGAGTTAATATTAGGATCCTCAGAGCTTACAAGGATTATAGATGCTTAAAAGATAATAGTAATTTAATAATATTAAATTAGTTTCACCATTTTAATATTTTTTAAAAATAGAATGATTATTATGAGGAAGATGCCTCACCTATTTTAGTAAAACTTTAATTCAAATTACTAATTTGGAATTAATGATAATTCAAACACAGCTGACATTTACCTTTATTCAATCCTTTCTTCAGAGTGCAAATTAAAAACATAAATAAGATTTTTAAAGAAAAGACAAACTTTTAAAAAGTACTTAGTAGCACAAACTTCAAGCATCTTCAAGCACTTCAACCAGTTTTTAAAAAATGTATAAACAACTGATATTACTGAGAAACATTAACTTATTTAACACCTACTATTGCAGGGAACAGTTGATAGGCACTGGGGAAATAGAGGTATAAGACAATGTCACTGCCGTCAACATGCTAATAATCTGTCAGGGAGACAGGATGAATACATTAAAAGACCACAGAATCATTGATTTAGATCTGGAAGGGGCCTTAGGAGATCATCTAGTCTAGTCCTCTGAATAACAGTACAAACTAGCACTGGATTTATTACTACAAACTAGTGCTAGATGAGTGGTCTAGACTAGTGGATCCAAACTTGTAGACTGCAGGGGAATTAATCCATAAAAAAGCAAATATGCCTAAATAAATAAATGTCTCGCATATGTACACAATACTATTTTAAATGTATGTAAGTGTTGTTGTGATTAATAAAATAAAAATTTCAAATATTAGTGAATTCATAGAAAGCTTTTTTATGATTATATACTTTCTCAATCAATGGATACTAATCAAACTACAATAATGTGGGAGTCTGAAATATTTTAACATTCAAAAAAGAAATCTTAATACTCTAGAAGGATTGTAAACCTCAAGTTCCAACAATAAACATTAAAGAAATTTAAAGAAGAAATGATCACTGAGAGTAAGGATAATCAAGAAAGGCATACAGAGAAGGCAGGATGATTTAAACAAGATCTTGAAGAACTCTAGATGAGAATTTAAATAGTAATACCATGCAGAAGGCAATTACAAATTCACATCTGTTTTAAAAAATATATTCCTAGACAAGGTCGACTTGGTAAGTCTAGAGTCTCTCAATGTTTCTGTATTTCTTTGTTGGACTAGATGATCTCTAAGATCCTTTCCAGTTCTAACATTGCATTCTATTCTGTAACTAATACTTTTTACTAATTCAGACCAAGCTTAAAATAATTCCTCTTATTTCAGGGGTGTTTTTTTTTAAACTGTGAATATGGTCATTTATTTCCAAAAGAAAAGAATTCAAGCATTTTAAGACTTTTTTTACTTTAGTGCTTAAAATTTAAACATATACCCTAATGCAGCTTTTCTTATTATCTGTTTGAAAGAAAATGAATTGGTTGGGTGAAGAATACCAAGGTTCCTTCCAGCTCTAAAATACATTCTACATAAAGGTAAATATTTCTAATCAGGGATGATACTGGGTATTTTTTTTACATGCATAAACTATAGAAACCTTAACTTTGTTTGCACAAAGGTTCACATTTGTTAAAAAAAAAAACTTTTGATACTTAATACAAAGTCTATTAAGCAATTTTATTCTACTCTCATTTTTCGGTTTTGCCGTCCTTTCAGAATTAGGTTGTAAACTCTTAGGCAATAACTGTTTTATAAAACATTGTTAATACTCAGTAAATATAAAATAATAACTATCAAGTCACTTGAAAAGATTATACAAACTGCATGAGAAAAAGAAAACTAGAAAAGATGATTGTATCTAGTTTCATGTCACATTCCTCAGTACTTTGAGCTTTAAATATTTCAAAAAATATTTAAAAATTGTATAGAGGTAGAAAAGATTTCCTCTATCCACTTCAATCACCTGTTAGATTGTACTTTAATGTGCACTACCCATGACCCTAAGGGCAAGAACTGAACATCAATTTCACAGTATGGTTCTGATGTCTTACCAACATCAATACTGTGATGAGGAGATGGAATGCATGATTACAAATGTCTTTAACTTCCTACCATTTATTTTGTAGCTGTCCGAGTAAATATTAAAGATAATGTTACTTTTGAAAAGTATAGGGTGCCGTGTAGTATAAACTCCAGTGTCCAAACAATATTTTGATACCAAATAAGATTCTTTATCTATTGGTACGCTGCTAAGTGTGAACTGGTTTTTTTGTTTTGTTTTGGGGTTTTTTTTTGGTTCTACTTAGTGGTTTTCATAGATTGCATTATACATTATACACAGAAACACATCCATGTGAACGCATGGCACTAGGAAGATTACCCACTATTTCCCATTTATTAAGTTCAGGATCATATTTTTCAATGCTCTGAAGATATGTTCCTTTTGAGTAGGAATATCCACCAGTTACATAGATACATCCATTCATGATGACGGCACCACACTCCATTCTCCTTTCCATCATAGGCGCTATCTCTGTCCATTCATTTTGTTCAGGATCATAGCATTCTGCAATTGTGGTTTGTCCACCAACAAGATATAGCTTATTTTCTAATGGAATTGAACACAGTCCATATTCTTTGAAAAGGAAAAAAAGAAAAAGAATTTTAAAATTGTAGACAAAATACATAATGCTACAGCAAATTAATGAATGGTTATCACACACATTTTAAAATTAGCATACATATCAGACTACCATATTTTTGTTGTTGAATTGTTTCAATCATTCTGACTCTTCCTGACCCCATCTGCAGTTTTCTTGGTAAAGATACTGAAGTGGTTTGCCATTTTCTTCTCCAACTCATTTTACAGTTAGATGAGGAACTGAGGCAAACAGGGATAAGTGACTTGCCCCAGGTCACACAGCTAGTAAATGTCAGAGGCCACATTTGAGCTCAGGAAGAATCTTCCTGACTTCAGGCCCAGCACTCTATCCACTGTGCCACCTAGTCTAGTACATATCACCTCAAAATATGTTTGAAACTTGTTCCAAAATATAGCACCTGACAGTGCTATGGGCTTCCACCCTCATTCCACCTCTCCAAGAGTTGCTTCCATAGTCCACAAATATTATACTTAAACTGAATCTTCAGAGTAACAAAGAGAACCTGTATATGCAGAACCCTCTTCACTGAATTTCCCCATAGTCTTATTTTGAGTTGGCATTTATTTTTAGGATATGTCATAAGCACTGCCTTTTCATAAGGCACACATGGGGGCTAGATGACCTCTGTAGATAACTTCCAGCTTTAACTTATAATAAACTTGGAAGTTGGCACAGCAATAGCCCATCTGCGTGGTAATAATAAGGATCATAGACTCTTCTGGGTGGCAATAAGGATCACAGATTCATAGATCAGGACTGGAAGGAGCTTTAGAGGGCCATTTAGTCTAACCCTCTCATTTTACTAATGAGGAGACTAAGGACCATCAAAGTTAACAGTGATTTGCCCAAGGTCATAAAGATAATTTAAGTGGAAAAGACAGGATTAGAGTCCACATCTCTGATCTGGTATACAATGCTCTTTCTACTGTATCATGCTATCTCCCCAACAAGCAATGAATGCACTTTAAAGGTCTTATTCTCTTCTTTAGACAAATATTAACATATCTATAACATACTTTGACTTCAATCATTGACTCTGGCTAGATATGAAGGCTCTAACCCCACAAAGATTTGGAGGCAAGAGAGTTATAAGCACAGGAAACCTAGGAGCAAATAAATGGATACTTGGCACCCCACTTAAGAAAGGACTCTTGTTCCCTATCCTCCATCACCACCACCACCACCACCACCACCACCACCACCACAAACCACAATAAAATCAATAACAGAGAAGCCAGAGAGTCCACTCTTTCTACAATCTTTACTTTTTAAAATAAATTAAAATTAAATTAAAAAATTTAAATTTTCTTTGAGTTTTAAGAACTAAAGGCAACATGAAGTAATAATAGAAGAAAAGGAAACACAAAATCCATTTTCACTGGTTTATATTTAATTCTTATAAACTGGTAATTTTCATGGGAAATTAAATATTTTAAATTAGAATATCTACATTTTCATAGAGAGAGCATGGCATTGTATATAAAGGGCTAACCTGGGAATCAGAAAGACCTGGTTGAAGATCCTACCTCAGACACCTAGTAGCTGAGTGAATATGAGCAAGTCATTTAGCTTCTACACATCCCTAGCAACCCTCTAAAACTCTAAATTACAGATCCCTGTTGGGGAAGAAATTTTCACACTTGTTGTAGGTGTAGATCAAAAAAGAACTTCTCTTTTACACATTCAACAATACTTATCTAGCTGCCTATTATTTAAAGGCAGTGTAGTAGGCACAGTAGGATATATAAAGATGAATAAGAAGCTCTCCCATCCTTTAGTAGTTTCTAATTAGAGATATATACAAAAAGGTATATACAAAAACAACCACAAACTAAGGCAATATATGATGATTGCTATACAATTAGGAAAAAGGTACAGAAATTCATAAAACAAAGAAAAGTGAGATCACAAAAATGTTTGCCAGTGTTAAACATACATTGAACTAGTATATTTTAACTGAAAAGTTAACATCTAGCCCAATATCCTAATTTTACAGATGAGAAGTCTTAGGCCCAGAGAGATTGTGACTTACCTAAAATAAAGTTTATCCAATGGTTGTTAAAAAGCAAAAAAGATTATAATATATCAGTGTAATATTATTTTGTCTTTAAAACTGCAACTATGAGAGATATAAAGAATATGAAAAGACATGAAATAATTCTAAACGAAGAAAGCAAGACAAGACAGTATATGAAACGACAACCATATGAAAATAACAAATGGAAAAGGGATCCTAAGGGACATAGAGTAAATGAGTTGTGCATATTTCTTCTTTTAAAAAATGTGAATGTAGTTTATATTTCATTGTTATATTGAGTTTTATTCTTTTAACTGGTCTTTTTTGTTTATGTTATGAAGCTGAGTTTCTAAGATGTAAGTGAGCTGACTAGAGGTAGTACCTAATCCATCAACATGTGGGGTACAAGAAGCCAACTGTGTCACACAGGCCACAGAGGAATGGTGGCTAAAAGCAACAGAGATGACAGTGCTGTGCCTCTCCTAAGACGGTTAAGGGATTAGGCTAAACTTAACTGCTGACTATTGACACATCTTTTGCTTCCATTTTATCACTGGTTCTTGAAATTGTATGCTGCCAATGCTGCCTGGCAAATGGGTAGTTGGGGTACCCAAGACACATTTTCAATGATTTGCTATAGAAAAGCAAGGATTAGAATCCCATTCTCTTTACTTACTAGCTGTGTGACTCTGTACAAGTCATTAAATCCCTCTGAGTCTCAGTTTCCTCATTTATAAAATAGGGATAGTAATACTTATACTGTATACCTCACAAGCTTGTTGTAAGGTTCGGATTAGATGATGATAATAAGAGTTACAATTTATATAGCGCTTTAAGGTTCACAAAACACTTTATAAACACCACTTTATCCAGTAACAACCTTGAGAGCTAGGTGCTATTGTCATCCCATTTTATAGATGAGGCAGACAGTAGCTAATTTACTTGCCCAGGGTCACAAAGCTATAATAAGTGTCTGAGGCTGGACTGGAATGCAGATCTTCCTGACTCCAGGTACAGCACTTTATCTAATGTACTACCTGGCTGCCAAGACCTTGTACATGGTGAAATACAATATCTACCTAGGTTATTATTATTCCTTCAGAGGCAAAATGTGTCTAGTAGTAATATTTTCTTAATAATTTTCTTTTTCTATATCAACATTTATGACCATTATTAACATTTACATAGTTGGGGATAATATTGGTTATTGTACTTTTCTGACTTGAAATAAAGGGGGAAAAAGTAACATTTTGTGAATTCAATATACATAAAAAAGATCAAAAGTAGAGTTTACTCTGTCCAGTATGGATTTTCTATAATATCAGGTGGAGGGCAGGGGGACCCAAATAAAAACCTTTTTTCAGAAAATAAAATCACAAGTAATGGTACTTAGAACACAATTTGTAAGCAGATCAGCAGAAAGGTATTAATCTGTAATAACCACAGCTGGTACAAGTTTGTGAATTTCAATTATCTTTTCTAGTGACCCATACAGAAAGAAACCTGTTGCCAAATGACAAATAGCTAAAAGCAATACCAAGTAATGTGGCTTTTCTATAACAGAAAAATTAAACACATGGTACAACTGTCATCATGCTATAGTTCGTAATTTCCCCTGAGATGCTCACAAAGGCACCAGTTAAAGTACAAAAGTGAGCATGGAAGGCAGACTCCTCCTCACAAGTAGCAAATATGTTCTTTATGTCTGTAAAGTACCTTACAGCAATCTATGCAACACCGCAGTAATACTTACTAAATATCTGCTGAACCACTAAATGTGATTAACAAATCAGGCATACAGTTTTTATCAGAAAGCGTACATTTTCAAAATGAAGTAATGACCTCAAGCTGCACTTAAACAAAAGAGCTGACAAATAAACTGCTTCTTTTGAATGTGCCAATAAAAATCAAGGCTTTAAAAGCATAGATTTAATAAATAAACTAAAATACAGATAACAAAAAAAGAACTTAAGAATGAAGGAAAAGCAAAACCATTAGAAATGTTTTAGTCACAGTGAAATGGAATGTGTATTTTTGTGATAGTATAAATCATTTAATAGGGGGCAGTTAGATGGCTCAGTGGATAAAGCACTAAGCCTGGAGTCAAGAAGACCTGAGCTCAAATCTGGCCTGAGGTACTTACTAGCTATGTAACTGTGAACAAATCACTTAACCTCTGCTTGCCTTAATCTACCAGAGAAGGAAATGACAAACCACTCCAGCATCTTTGCCAAGAAAATCTCACAGACATAAATATGGTCCATGGGGTAATTAAAAGTCAGTCATGAGTGAACAAGAAGAACCCATTTAAAAATATAACTGGAAATATTTGTTCAAGTAATTTAGATTCTAGTTTGAAGGATACTTTGATCACCTGAATTCCACTCAAGTCAATTCAATATTTATTAAAAACCTAAAATGTGTAAGGCAAGGCATCTGAGCAAACACTGGGTAGTAATTAGAGAGCCCCCCTCAGAGTTAAGAAGACCTGGTTCAAATCCCACCTCTGATACCTAATAGCCACATGACTGTAGGCAAGTCACCTTAACTCTAGGTGCCCCAGGCAACTCTCTAAGACTGTAAGTTGTAGAGCAGATGCCAATCCATCTGGGTGGAAGAAGGTTCTGTACCAATGAAATCACAGGTCCAGTTAAAAAAAATGGGCATGATACCAGGTACGTTAAATCCACCATACAAAGAAACATTTTTTAATCTATTATTAAACTAATCCATTGTTACACAGACATACTTTATGGTGGAGAGCACAAATTAGGCAAGTGTTTCTATTTACCTGGATGTGGACTAGAGGTAACCAGACTCCATTCATTGATGTCTGAGTTGTAACTCTGGACTTTATCATAAGTGCAGCTTCCCCTGTAACCACAGTGGCCTCCAATGACATAGATGATTTCCCGTAAGACACAGGCAGTAGCATTTCCCACACCTGTATGTTAAAAATCATATCTTTTTATCTCACCATTCATCAAACTGATCTAACACCTACTATATATAAGACACAAGGCTAAGTGTTGGAGAGGCTACAATGGTAAATAAGATACAGTCTCTGGTTTTAAGAAACTTAAGGGGTAACAGAAGATATAGCATAAGGCAAGCATAAATGCCGTAAGATAGGTTAAAAAGTGAATATTCCTAGAAGTTCAAAGGAGGGAGAAATCACTTTCAGAGCAGAAGTTCTTAATCTGGAGTCTGTGAACTTTTAAAAACAGTATCTTGCTGGTTTCCTTTTTAATCCTATTTGTTTTACGTATTTAAAAACGGTATTCAGAGAAGGGGTCTGTCAAAGGTTTCACTATACTGCCAAAAAGAGAATCTGGTAAAAGATTCTAGAGCATCAGAGAAGACTTCATGTAGGATGCAGTATTTCAGTTAGGGCTTAAAAAATGGATAGGATTTTTACAATTACAGACATAGGTGAGGGTATTTGAGTTAAAAAAAAAAGACTGAATAAAGGTGAAATAGGAAAGCAAGATGCATTTGGGAAATGTTGATACTGTTTAGATGGAACATAGGGAAAAATGAGAAAAAATGGCTGAAAAGGTAGGTTGGAGCCAGATTTGAAGGTGAGCAGTGAGGTGACATGTTTTAGAAAAGTTAATCAGAGGGTGGGCAGCAACGTGGTGTAGCGGAGAGCACCAGTCCTGTTTGGCCTCAGACACTTACTTGCTCTGTGACCTTTGGCAAGTCACTGAACCTGTCTGCCTCAGTTTCCTTATCTGTAAAATGGAGATAATAACCACACCTGCATCGCAGGGTTGTCGTGAGGACAAAATGAGATAATAATTGTAAAGTACTTAGCAAAGTGCATGGCACTATATGTTAGCTATCATTATTATTAAATATTATTGTTAATATATATTTTATGTGGTATATTATTGATTATTCTTAATGTGCAAGATGGATTAAAGTGGAGAGAGACTGGAGACAAAGATCAATTAGCCTACTAGAAAAGTCCAGAAGGTAGATAAAGAAGACTCAAACTGGGGACAGAATAATGGAAAGGAAGGCTCAAGTGATTTAACTTCTTGGAACCTTAGTTTTTGTATTTGTAAAATAGGGATGATGCTTTAATCCCTACTTCCCAGGCTTATTGTGAGAAAAGCTATCTGTAAACCATAAAAGAATGGGTTAATGTGAATTACTATTTTTATTAAAAAGACACTTTGGAATTAGACTGGGGAGGATGACGAGGAAGATAACTCCCAGGTTTCTTAACAAAATAGGGAAATCAAGAGGAGGAAAAGATGGCTTGGGGGAATAAAATGAGTTTAAGTGAGAATATTGGTTTAACCTATTAATTAATTTCTACTGTGAAATAAAAGACCTACAAGGAGGACCTTCATGAAGGATCAAAAACGTTTTAGGGAGTCATTTGTTTCCATAACAGCTAAGGATACATTGCTTAGTCCTGCTTCTTGACACATATACTACCTAAAAAAAACTTAACAGGACATGAAATAAAACAAATTATAGAAAATATTTCATCTTCCTTAGGGGCAAAGTAAGAAGCAAAAAATACAGCATGTGAACCCCTCAGGGCTGGGATGAGGCAAAGGTATGAATAACACCTAACAGATTAAAGTGTAACTATCCATGAAGTATTTCAATTTTATCCAGGATAAAAGGAATGAAAGTTATTAGTCAACTGTTGGTGAAGCTTTGGAAAGGCCATGGAGTCCCTACACAATGTCAACACATTATTTCAACATTTTCTTTTATGGTGAATAAAGAATCAAGTGAATTTTTAAAATAAGCTAGAAATGTGCTTTCTCCCTTCTGTTCTGATTCTTCTTTCCCAACGTGACTAATGTGGAAACATGTTTAATATGACTGTATATTTATAGCCTTATCAAATTGCATGCCATCTTGGGGAAGAGGGTAGGGAGGGAGGGAGAAAAAAATTTGGAACTCAAAATCTTATAAAAGTAAATGTTGAAAATTATCTTTACATGTAATTGGAAAAAATAAAATACTATTAAGTGGGGAAAAAATAAGCTAGAAAGCCAACAACAAAACATACAACCTAATCAGAAATATATGCCAAATTATAAAATCACATTTTGAAATCACAAAGAAACACAAATAAGCAGAAAAATGCTCCAGATTTCTAATATCTCCCAAAAATGACATTTCAGATTCCCTTGCATCTTCTATAGGTGATAGGAGATGGAAACAGCTAACTTAAGCCTGCAAGGTACCAAAAAAGGACATGGATTTTTTTAGCCTGCTCCCCCTCTCCTTGCCGTAACCAACTTACCCTCTCCCATATTATAAAACATTACAATACTCCTAAGCCATGTTAGAGAGTAACAAATATTTTGAGAAGGAATTTACTTGTATATTTGAGTATGAGTGATAGTCTCTGAATGCGGGAGGCATTTCTGTCCTATAAACCACTTTATCAAAAGATGTGTGTCAACCTGATCTTTCCTAAAGAAAAGAAATTTCCAGACATAAATCAAGCCTCTTGGCTGACTGTAATGGGCCACAACTGGACAGGTTTCCACACTCTCTTTAGCTCCTTAGAAAGAACAAGAAAGTGGAAGAGGGGAAACACCTGAGATGAAATAATGCAAATTTGCAAATACTTGCACTGTGTCCATACAATTTGAAAGCTGTTCTGGTGAAGTACCATAGCACCAGTTTTAAAATTAAATATTATATTTTTATGAATAAGAGGAAAGAAAAATCAAGCATTTTATTATACTTCCTTTGATATAGCAAGAAAGTTATTTGCCCATCCCTCCCCCATTCCTAAAATTGAATACTAACAGCATACCAGGCATTGTACAGGGCATAGCTTTTGCTCCCAAGACTTTACAGTGATTACATAAATGAGACATCACCAAAGCAAATATGAGAAAAGTTCTGATAAAATTTTCGTTATACTCTGTAGGAGTCCAAATAACTAGACTATATCATAGTAAAAAAAAAGAAATAATAATTTTGAGGAAGGATGGAGACAAAACCCATAATGCATTTAGAAAATAAAAGACCATCAGTTTTTAATTTAAAGGAAACTGATCTGGTATAGCAGTAAAGAAGGGAAAAGTTTAAAGAGAAAGTCATTTAAGAACAAGAAAAAAGTTAAATATTAAATAGTATAATATAATATAAAATAACATAAAATAAATGTGAAATAATATGAAATAAAATAATATAAAATAAAATAAAACCATTTACATTTCTAATTTTGTCCACCAACTTTAAAAATTATTAGGAAGCAAAGTCTGGCTAAAAAATGTCAGTAATGGCTTTCTGATTCAAAAAACTCGTAAGATAGCACTTTTCTATATTTAGTACTGGAATCATAAAAATATTATTTGGGGCATTCTATGCTACATTGTGTATTCTACTTTACTTCTTAGATAAAAGAGTGACGCCAACCTCAGTAACAGGATACTTGAGACAGTTATCTTGGGCCTTGCACTTTCACTGAAAGAACAGGAAGGCTGGTTCAAGTTCAAAAGGCCACAAAATATATAATATACAAAATCTGTACATACCTTTAATCATATTCGCAATAGGAATCCATTTCTTTTTTAAAGGATCATAGAACTCTGCTTCTTCTGCTGGTGCTCCTTTTCTGTAACCTCCCAAGGCATAGACACAACCACTTAAGGTAACTGCACAGTGATAATATCTTGCATTGAGCATGGGGGAGCCTTCAGTCCATTCATCAGTTTCACTATTATAGATCCAGACAGAGTCAAGGGCTTCTATGTTATCTGTCCTATAACCACCTGTAACATAAATGTTGGGTCCCAAACTTGTAACACCATAGCTTTCTCTGGTATAATCTGGTATTTCTGCTCCCTGAATCCAAACATTTATTATAGGATCCCATATGTGAACCTCTGACAAAGGATGCCAATAATAGCCTCCAATAACATACATAGTGGCTGTAGACCTCTGGGAAACTTCCTTATGCATAGGACTTAGAGCATTATATATTAAGGCTCTTAACTTGTTTTCAGTTAGCAGGTGTCTTCTCTGAAGACTCAAAGCAGTCTTCAAGTACATCTGATCTATATCTATTTCTACATAGCTTAGGAGATCATAAATGCCTTCGATTCTCTTTTCCACATCATGTGCTGTCCATTTAATAACTGGTTCTATGACAGTTTCTTCTTTCCAAACACTTAGATTCTTTCTGGACAAAATAAAGAATAATTTTTCACTGCTGATTTCAAGAAATTCTTCTTGTTGCCATACTTCCTTGAACCTTGATAAAAGCATCCTTCTGGATTCCTTCTCTAATTCTGGACACACATGAAATTCTGCAAAGGAATGCATTCCTATGCAATTATCAACATCAAGGTGCCTTACCAAAAACTGCTCACAAGCTTTCTTTACAGGAAAAAATTGTAGTAAGTCTGCTGCTTCAAGGAGGCTTTGAACATTTCTTTGGGTTATTCTGATTTGTGAAGTGTATGCATAATTTATAAGACCTTCTAGAACTTCATGGTGGATCCCAGGGAGTTTTATTTTGTTTTTAAACTTTTCTTTCATGTCAGCTGTGAACATTGCTTTAAAATAATTGCTGCAGGCAGCTAAAACAGCTTTATGACAATGGAAGATACCACCTGAAGGACACTGAAGTGTTATATCAGTAAATAATCCATCAAGGTAGAATGTTCTAAATGCTTCTAAGAAATCCAAAGGATGAGAAGGATCTTTGAAAAGATAGACATAGTCTTCTTGCCCTTTAAGTGCCATTGCTGCAAAAAATATTAAACATATTCATTTAAAATTCTGCAGATAACCTTAAATTATAAATGCTGTATATTCTAATCCTTATAATGATTAAGGCTGACTGTAGTCCAGAGGCCTCACCTCAACGAATTACAGTAATAATGCTAAAACAACTAACAGTACCCAGAACAAATTCAGAGTGCATGTTGTTCTGTAATGGTAATGGAATATGGTGGCCAATTTGTAAACAGGCACAACATTCAGCAGTACTATGCGAACCTGGATGCAAGGATGTGAAACGGGCCACCAGGGTCATCCAGAAACGTCCATTTGCCACTTTCCCCTCCAAAATGTCAAACAAACAAATCCATACAAATTGCCTTCTAGAGAGCTGTCTCAACAAAGAAGGCACTGCCCGAACACTTCGCATTAGTAGGGGTCTGGGGCCTTTTAGGGGGTCGCTCCCGGAGAAGCCTGGGGGAGGGGGTCGCTGCTCCCCAAACGCGAGCTCAGTTGTTCCTCCAGCCTTTTCCACCAGCTCCGAGATTCCTTTTAAAATTCGATCACCCCGGGAAGGCGCCGGTCAAAGGGCAGCCTCACAAAGCGGGTGGTGGGGGCGGTGGAAGGAAGAAAGAAAGAAAACGTGAGTACAAAGCACCCACAGACCTCTCTGCAAGCCTGGCTCGTCTACGTCACCGGCCCCCCGCTGTGGAGTTCCAATTCCCCTTCTGGGTAGTGGAAACTGAGGCAGCCCAGCCCGGATCCGGGTCCCACTCCCTCCACCCCTGCCGCGGAGTTACAGCTCCCTTTCTGGATGTGGAAGGAGGCAGCCCAGCCCGGCCTCGGGTTCTCCCCCCTTTTTTGTCCCCCCCAGCTGCGGACTTAAAGCCCCCCTTCCAGGACGCGGAAACTGAGGCAGCCCAGCTGTGCTCCCCCCAGCACCCCCTCCGCGCTCGCGCCCCCGCTTCGGGGAGGTCCCTGGGCGCCGGGTCTTCAAGCGCTTAGAGCGGCCCCCCTCGCCTCCCGGCTCCCAAGCAGGTGCAGAATCAGGAGCGGGCTGAGCCAGGCGGGCGGCCCGCGAGGCCCGGGCCATTGTCCGCCTCTCTTCTTCCCTCGGGGCGGCGGGCTCGCCGAAGGCTCGTTCTCCCCTCCGAGGGGGCGTCCCCGGGCTGCCCCCGAGCAGTCCCCCCACTTACCGCGAGCGCCCCCCCTGGGTCCGGGGGCTGCGCTGGGGGCCCGGCGGACTAAGGAGACGCGGACGCTGAGGCGAATGCGGCGACTCCTCCCGCCTCTCTGACCATCTTTGGACCCGCGCGGCGGCGGCGACGGCGGGGGCGGCGGCGGGGGCCAGCCAGAGAGCGAGCCCCGGGGCCGCTCCTACTCTGGTGCTTCGGCTGCTCCCCCGGCCCCTCGACCAAGCCAGCCCCTCCCCCGCTGTCACTCCCGTGACACCCCCCCCCCCCAAGCACACACAGGCTGACAGCGGAGGCTGCAGCCGGGGACGCCGGGAAGGTGCTTTGCACCCCCCGCCCCCAGGCGGCCGGGGGATGGCGTCCCCAAGGGCTCAGTCACGCACGCACCCAGCCTCCTACAGCTAAAAAGTCCTCCTGCAGAGACCCCGGGAAAGGCAACCTCTCTCGGCGCCAGCGAGCCCTGATTGGCTCCCCACGACCCAGGCGAAGCGGGGGAGGGTCGAAGTAAAGATCCAGGGAGAGGGTCTTTGCCCACCCCGCCCCCCTGTGCTAGCGACAACCCGCCCAACCCCGACTCCTTTCAGCAAAACGCCCCCACGTTCTTGCGCAGGGCTGAGCGGCTGGCACCCTAGGCAGCAGCCTCAGTGTCGGAGCGGCACACCAGGGGTTAAGCTGGAAGCCTAGAGGAAGAACCTGGGGCAGCCAGGGCCAGGGCCAAGCTGTTCTGCTGCCTCGACTCCACGGTCCTTCTGGAGCGCGAATAAGCCGAGCAGGAGCACCCCCAAGTTCTGTGATTTTCTACCGATTGTACACTAGCCTGCCCCGACCCCTGTGCATATTACAGACTGCGTCCCACCGGGATGCCTGTGAGCTCCCACGATCACGGAATGATTAATTCTCTTCTTCCCACAGGAGCCAATCCTTAGCCTAGAGATAGAGGGTCTCCCTTCCTCCAGAACAGATGAGAACTGAAGGAAGGCCAGAAGCACTCACAGGCAAGCTGGACCCCTTTGAAAATTACATGTTGAACTGATTATAGACTTTAAAAGACAAGCAAGCTTTACATTCTCAGTTTCATATGCTGTGCCCTCCTGTTCCGCAATATATAGAAATACTCATTTTATTTGGTATTTGTGAAGTTGAGAGTTTTTTAAAAAATTAAATGAAAATTTAAAAAAAAACTGGTGGCAAGTCAGCAGTGCTTTGTTTATATGAAGCGTTCTTTGGTGTGTGACTGGAGTTGCTGTTTGCAGAGCCTGTTGATTTTCTGGGCTTTCTGATTCTTCACATTGTCTCACACATAGGAGGCACTCAATAAACGTTTGTGGAATGAATGAATGAATGAGCTAGGGCTGTTCCTCAAGCGGTTTCCTTTTCAGGTTGCCGTATGCACCAGGTTGAACTCTTTGCTTCTATGGTTTCCCAAAACATCAGAGCTATGACTTATTGTCTGAAGTGTTGTGTATGTGTTTAGTGTTTGTCCTGTACACTTGTACCTGCAGTTACTCTGCTTCAGCTTGCCAAGAGCAGTTGCTTAGGTATCCTGGCATGAATCATGTTACTTCTTTACACCTGCTGCCCAAGCATACCTGGGCTTCAGGAAAAGTAGCTTCAGAGCTCAGAAATTTTACATGTTCGGTGACATCATTACTAGCAATACTGTTTTACCATTTTATGATAATCAACCACTCATAAGTAAAGCATCCAATCATTTACCAAGTCCTATTGAGTTTATCTCCACAGTATATCTCTTTCATTTTTCTCCTCCTTTGCACTCCCACAGCCACCACCTTAGTTCAAGCCATATTATTTCTTGCCAAAACTGTTGTATAGTTTCTAAATTGGTATTCCTGCCTCTAGTTTATCCACTTCAAAACCATTCTTAATGGGTATCATATTGCTTGTCTTCTCAATGGATTGGGAAGAGGTGGGAGGGAGGAAATAAATTTGGAACTGAAAATTTTTAAAAATGAATGTTAATTTAAAAATAAAAGGTTCAATGGTGCTTCACACAACAGTGTTTTAGAAAAAACCATCAAATTTGGTGTCCTGGAATTCGAGCCCTGCACAACCTAGCTCCCATCTAAATTTCCAGCCTTATCTCACGCTATTGCTTCATATGACATACTCTAAGTTCTAGCCCACCTGTGTTCCTCAAAATCTCCTGCTCAGGGGGCAGCTAGGTGGCACAGTGGATAGAGCAACAGCTCTGCAGTCAGGAAGATCTCAGTTCAAATGCAGCGGCAGACACATAACCCTCACTAGCTGTGTGACTCTGGGCAAGTCACTGAACCCCAGTTGCCTCACCATGAAACAAACAAAAAGACTCTGTCTTAGGGGGCAGCCAGGTGACACAGTGGATAGAGCACTGGCCCTGGAGTCAGGAGGACCTGAGTTCAAATTTGGTCTCAAACACATAACACTCACTAGCTGTGTGACTCTGGGCAAGTCACTTAACCTCAATTGCCTCACCAAAAAAAAAAATCTCCTGCTCATACTTGTCTGAAGGTTCATGCCATATTGACACCACACTGTTGGTCATTTGAGAAATGTTTGTTGAATTTAAATTCCATATAAGTACTGCTGGCTTTTGTTTTTCTAAAACAAAAACTTCATCAGTACATCACTAAAATGTATTTCTCTGGATCTCACACATTTTAAGATACTACTGAGAAAGAAAACATGATTAGTGTCTGACCATCTGGACTAGTAGAGCAATGTCTGATGACCATCTTTCTCCCATTTCAACTATACCAGTCCTGTTCTTCAGTTTGTGGCTGCCAATAGTGTGTGCAGGGAGGGACCTGTCAGTATTCATAGATCACATCACCAGTCTAAGTTGATCATTTCTAAGTTCCTTATGACAAGTTAGTTAATCCTCTTGGGCTTCCCCAATATTCCCTAACTAGACTGCATTATTTGAAGCTGGCAGAGGAACAGTCAAGAATGTTGGGTTGCTGTCTAGTGACTAGAATAACTGCCATGTTGTCATGGCATAGAAATTGTAAGGTGGGATTTAATTATGGTGTGTGATGTTGCAAAATGACGTGCTATTTGTTGGGGACGACTGTATATGCAAAGCACTGGGGAAACAAAGATGACTTGGTCCCGTATCTGAAAGAAGTAATTACGTAGTATAGGAGATAAAATGTACATGTGTATACACATACATATATACACATATATGTATATAACAAATACAATTAAGTACATAGGAAAGCTCAAAGTAGAATGAGAGATTTGAAAGGAGGGGTGACTCAGCTGAGAGAATCAAGAAAGACTTCATGGGGGAGGTAGTATCTAATGTGGACCTTGAAGGAAAAGTAGGATTTCAGCAGGAAGAGAAGCAGGGGGAGTCTGTTCCATACAAGTAGGATGGCATATGTAAATACATGGAGAAAGAAGAGGACAGAATGAGATGAAAGAAATGGCAAATTGTCCAGTAAGATTGAAATGTAAGAGCGTGTAAAGGGGAATAGGACAAAATAAGATTAGATAGAGGAGACTGAAGTTTGATTATGAAGGTCTTTGAATGCCAGGGTGAGGAATTCGTACTTGTTTAGGAAATGAGGTTCTCTGCAAAGTTTTACCCTTATACTTTCAAGTAAAATGTGGATGATCCTGGGCTCTTAAAGGCTCTGGTAGGTGCCATCAGTAGACTAGAAAAGCTTTGAATATAATTCAGGTAACAGTCTGAGTCTCTTTTCTGAGGACCAGCCTAGCTAAGCATGGCCATTAGGCTAGCTACTTGTTGATGAATTTTTTTGGCCATGGCAACACATGACATTAAACAAAGTCATAAAGAGTCCCTCAGTCCTATCTGGCTCCCTTCAACTTTTTAGATGACAGTGGCAGGCCTAGGGGAAAAGGGGCAGAGGTTCTAAATGGCACCTCCTGTTTAAACCATGTATAAACTTTGAGTTAGCTATTGATTCTCTAAATTGTGAGAGCCTTACCCAGTGACCATTCAGTGGTTGTGCTACTAAATCATATCAGTGTTGGTATTCTCACTATAAACAAACAGAAAGAAATTGTTTATTAACTGGCTGTCACTAAACTGGGAAAGAAACTGCAGCTAAATGTCTTCAGGGGAAAAATCGTTGGGCTCTGATTGCACTGAGTACCAAGAAACATCACAAAATAATAAAATTGATTATATCTTAAAAGTTGGGAAATGACTCATCACTTGTGTGATATCTTTCCTGAATCATCTGTCTGTGCACAGTAGGACCACCAACTTGTTAGAGAAAAGATCAAAGTTAAAACAAAGCTACATGAAAGAATAAAAACAAGAAAAGGATATAGCATGCAATTAAAACAATGCAACCTTGACCTATTCAAACTAGTTGTTGAAAAATAAAAAATGGGTGCTAGGTTCGAGAAGCACTGAGTCACAGATCATTTCACACAGAAGTTTAAGCAATGTACTTACCATATTAGGGAGGAGGGAAAGCAGGGAGGGAGAAGATTTGCACCTCAAAGTGTTATTAAAAAATGAATGTCAAAAATTGTCTTTGCATATAATTGGGAAAAATAAAATACTATTTAAAAGAAAAAAAATTAGTTTAAGCAATGTAAATCAATTGCCAGAA